TTGAGTGATAAATAATTTTTTTTGCGATCATTGCACTTGCCCGGCGGGCAAATGCAATGAAATTTGTACTCTCCCGACAATAAAAACTACTTGCCCCGGGCGATCGGGTAATGGTTAACATTGAGCCCTGATACATATATACACACACACATATATATACATATATATGTGTGTGTGTATACATATACAAAAGTATACACATACACATATATACTGTACATACACAGAGCAGAGACACAAGTGGCAGCATGGCTTGTTAATGGTAGACATTCAACTAATGCTGATGCTTTTTGTATAATGTACAGTATGTTGTAAGTTCTCTGATTCTCTGAGGGACAGAGTTCCATTCCTGAGATGCTGTAACTCTTCTCACATATAAAGCCTTAAATGGCCAAGCTCCATCTGATATCAGAGATCTGATTGTTCCTTATGTTCCTAACAGAGCACTTCGCTCTCAATCTGCAGGTTTACTAGTGGTTCCTAGAATTTCTAAAAGTAGAATGGGAGGCAGATCTTTTAGTTCTCAGGCTCCTCTCCTGTGGAACCAACTACCAGTTTTAGTCCGTGAGGCAGACACCCTGTCTACTTTTAAGGCTAGGCTTAAAACTTTCCTTTTTGATAAAGCTTCTAGTTAGAGTGGCTCAGGTTATCCTGAGCTATCTCTATAGTTCTGCTGCTATAGGCTTAGACTGCTGGAGGACATAGGGACTGTGCTGTGACTCCATTTCTGGAGAGAAATATCAGCTGTGCTGCTGCCATCAACGACTTTGTTTATAGATGTTGGAGATTGGCCTGTTTTCCTGTGTAGTCCTGTTTCTCTGACTGTGACTGGCTGGATGTGCTCTCTTCATCCTCTGACATGGAGCTGGCTCTGAGCTCGTCTGCCTGCCTTTTCCTCTCCACTGTCCCTACAAGCATGCTTAGTGTGAGGGATTGCATCCAAGTCAATCCGAGTCGATGCAATCAACTGGTTTTCCTTAGAAAACTTTTAATCAATTTGACTGTATGAACTGGTGGATTGTACAGTGCCTTGATAACATGTGTTGTGAATTGGCGCTATATAAATAAACTGAATTGAAATGATCAAATGGGCAAAATCGGCTAGGTGGGATGGTATTTCCGCCAGTGTTAACTACTTTCAAAAAGAGATATGTTAAACTCTGTGGAATCCACCACCATGCTGAACAGCTGCCTCAGGTTTGTACGGTGGGGGTGCCCCCAACATCCCTGCAACAGACTTCCCTTCCTTCCCCAACATCTGATTTGGCTGTGGTGTCACTGTGTCAGGAATCTAGTTTGGAGGAGAAAATTTAAAAGATTAATATCCAGTGTATCATTAGAACATATTTCTTCTATGACAGAGAGACGGACAGATACAAGCACAGGAAGTCACACACACACACACAGCCACATGCATGCCAGTGTTTAACAAACCGCACACCGGTATCTGCAATGACTGCAAAGGGACTGTGGGACAGGCGCCGTATCGGGACAAACAAGGCAACAATGCGTAATCTTCTATGAACTTTGAGAAACACTCATATTAACAATTACAAATTTATTATAAACAATTACATTTCTTAATGTCCCTTCGTCCATGGATCGTAAATTTTGTCTGTCTTAGTCTCTTTGACGAAAATCTTTTTTTATTTTCGTAATATATTTTTATTTTCTGGAAACAATTTTTGTGCATTTTTGTCTCGTCATCATCATGGGAAAAGGGGTATTAACGAAATATTTGGTCATTGTCATAGTTGACGAAATTAACACTGCCATTGTAGCATAATCCAGTACATCACATTTGTACTGACATTAATCAAGATACTATGATGGTACATACTGGACAACCAAAAATTGCCAAATAACAACATCTCAAACACATGGCCTTGTGCAACAGCCATCCTCCACAAAGACCTTCCATCTTTGTAAATGTTTCAGTCAGAAGGTTGGAAATCTTGATTCATGCAAAATCAGAGAACATATACTATTAAGAGCAGCAGCTCAGTCAACTTTGATAACAGATTTCTGCATGTCAACTCAAGCATCCTTGATATGGCCAAGAGATGAATTTTCTTTTAACATGTCTTGTAACATTCATGTAATACATGTACGGTACTTAAAATCTATTCTGTTCACTTCAGTCTTTTCTGTAATATACTAAATTTGCAACAGTCAAATTACCAAATGTTTTGCATGAATCTTTTTTTTCATTTTCATACATTTGTTTGAATTCTGACTTTAATCTCAGAATTCTGACTTTAATCTCAGAATTCTGACTGAATTCTGACAATAAAAAAAGTCAGAATTCTGAGATTAAAGTCAGAATTCTGAGACTAAAGTCAGAATTCTGACTTTTTTCCCATGTTAAAGGTACACTATGCAACCGGTGTTGATTTTCCAGTGAGGCTCCCTCCAGAGGGCGAAAGTAAAAGTGCACTGTCGTAAATATTCACAGCTGTTCTCCTGGTTTCTCCGTCAAGCCAGGCGCGGTTGTTTTGAGCTGAGCAGCGAATGACTAACGCTGCGTTCACACTGGACGTAGCTGGCGCGACAGAAGCAGCGAGTTTACATGCAAAGTCAATGGTTGACGCGCGTCAAGGCGCAGCAAAAGGTCCCGCGGCGCGTTTTGAGCACCAGGCGCAGCACGTCTGAGCAGCTGAAGCAGCGCGTCGGGTGCGTTTAACGCAGGGAGAGAGACACAGCGCTGATGATCTCTCCTCTTAAACAGTTTATTGACGCCTAAATTAACTTAAAATGCAGAAATCTGCCGGCAGAATATGCAGTTTGGATTATTTAGATGAAAAACACCTACCAGCTGCCGCGGTGAACCGCTGCTGATGAAGGGATCCATACTGTTGGCGCCCCGCTGGTATGTGGGGGTCTGAGCGGCTCCGATAGAAAAAATATTGAAGGCAGGATAATAATCTGAATGAACTGACGGCACTGATTACGTTTTCAGGTGTATTTTCTCACTTAAACACATATTAAAACTACTTTATTCCCACTGATCACAGCAAATATAGCTGCAAGGCAGAGAAAGGATAGTGAAGCTCCGCCCAACGCGCCTCAGACACAGCCGGAGCAGCAAAGCTGCTTCAGCCACGCGTCAGAACTAACTGGTACAAGCAGCAAAAAGGAAGCAGCAGACGCGATTTTGCTGCTTTTGCTGCGTGAACGTAGCATAACTGCACAAAGATCGCCACTGTGCTAGCAACGAGCATGCTTTTAACTGGGGGGTGTAGCAGTTCTCGGCGTAAAGCAAGACCGACTCTCGCGAGACTTCTGAGCCTGTGGGTGCGGGTCGGTGCTCCTGCAATTGCAAGTGCGGTATTTCCCACACAGACCACCAGGGCGGCCGAGAATACCTTTGTTCAACCTGAAATGACTCATTTAATCATCCAAAACGTTATGGAACACATTAATTAACTGAAAAATGTTGCATAGTGTGCCTTTAAACTAAGATAAAAATTAAAAATCAGTTAACTTTTTTTTTTTTTCCAGAGGCCCTAATCCTCTTCCGTACCTATTGTTACTGGTCGTGATTTGTATTATTTTGATCCGAAAACTTGCTGTGCCATTTGGTTTTCTTTAGTTTCTGAAATTCAGACTCTGTTGATAAAAATTCAACAAGTACACTGCAAAAACAATCTGAAATTAAGTAAAAATGTCTTAAATCAAGTGTATTTACCCTTAATTTGAGCAGGTAAATAAGATAGTTTGCCAATGGAATGAGTATTTTTACACTTAAAATAAGATATTTAGATAATATACACTTGAAATAAGACAATGCAATTGATTTTTCTTATTTCAAATGTAAATTGTCTTGTTTTATTGGCAAAATGTCTCATTTATCTCCTCAATTCAGGATAAAATGCACTTATTTTAAGAAAAAATTACTCATTTAGATTTACATTTTTTGCAGTGTAGGAATGTGATTTAAATGAGGAAGAATCCTATTTCAGTGATCTACAAATGGTATAACAAAGAAAGTAGTGCTTTAAATAAATATTAAATTAGGCTTTCTTTTTCCACCAATGACGACTTCTTCTTGTAAACCTTCAACAAAGGCCAGATTTGTTTAGTCCAAAGCAGCGGTGTCAGAGGGACTCAATTTTTTTACTGAGGTAGATGTTGAAATTATACAGAAGTATGTGACAGATACCGGACTGAGAAGAGAAAAGAATTAGAGCAAGAAAATAGTTTTTTTTTTATTTATCTTTCAAGTTTATTATTGAAATTCATTTATTAAACTACCGGTATTAATTATTTATTAATCTTTTGGTTGATGTTTTTTGGTTGTTGCAAATATCCTTGTCATAATTAAACTTATAGCAATGATGGCTACTGAAAAAGGTCTATTTTACCTCACTGGTGATATAATAATGAATATTATTCAGCAAAGTTATGTTATTATCATTTCCATTGAATTCAGTTTATTTATACAGCTTTAATTATTTTTTCATGTCTTTTTGAGATACAGAAATATATAAAGATGTGGTTTATATTCATAAATATGGGAAATAATTTGGTGTAGTGAGGGCTTGGATTGAATTAGCCCGCCCACACAGAGCGGACACAGACTTTATTATCGATCATATTCTGTTCATCTTAATTAGTTTTATACATACATGTATGAATAAATCTACATTATCTATAACATATTTGGTTAAAATAGATATTTTGAATTAATAAATATATTAATCAAAATTGATTTTAAACAGCAGTAGGTGCAAATGGGTCAGAAAAAGATGCAAGCATAATGTTTTTCATCTGTGTTGAGGCCAGACGTTTGGTTCTCTTGTCTGCTTTTATCAGTAAAGGTCTCAGTGTCTTTGAAACATTAAATCCAACATTTGAGTCCAGACATAATTTATTTTAACAAGAAAATTTAATCTTTTTATTAGTGTCCTTAATTTAAGCCCAATCTTTAATTTTCCTTCAGAAAAATCTGTAAATGGGACCATTGATCACACTGATTATCTTATAAAGCACACACATCATTTAGTTTTAAAATACGTTTTATTTCATAAAAGAACTTTACCTGAATGCTTCATCAAAAATATTTAGTCTTATTTGATCAAAAATTACATCCAAACATGTTTTGCAAATATTTGCTTTGAGGCAGAGAACAGTTTTGCAAATTAATCTGATGCTTGTTTGTCATTGGTGCATGGACCAGCTGGATTAAAACTTTTCTGAAGTTTGCTCCAGCAACCATTGATTCACTTGCTTCTTGTTCAGGGCCACCCAGTTAATGTTGGCCTTGGTTCTCTCCAGCACTTGATCAAAAACCCCAGCAGCTGATTCAAGCTGTGCTTCAACCTCCTCTTTGAACAGCTGCAGCTACAGAGGAGAAAGTGGGAGAAGCGATTATCACTGCTAATGCTCCTAAAACATAAACATTTATATATGTTTAAATCATTGAATGCCTACCTGTTTGTATTCAAACTGAGTGGAGAATCGTTCAGTCAGTCCATTCAGAATTCTACTAAGGGAAATTGATCCACGACCATATCTGAAGATATAGAAAAACAAATGTTTTGTTTTTTGCAGAAATAATACATTTAGACAAATATGTTACATAAACACAAGCTAATCTGTCTGCCCCTACTGTCGCCGACACTAACAGCCTACCCAAAGAGACAGTTCATGGTTTTCAGCTACAAACAGAGGTGTCAAAAGTATTAATGTTTATTATTCCAGTAGAAGTATAAATCCTACAGTTTAAAAACACTTTTGTAGAGGTCAGAGGATCAGCTTAAGCTTTTTTACTCCAGTAAAAGTGTTAAAGTACCATTTTTAAAGATACTTAAAGTATCAAAGTAAAGGTAATGCAGAAAAAATATTAAGGACAGAAGCTTTACTGCACTACCCTATTAAAGGAACATTTTTCTACAACTTTGGATGATAACTTCCTTAGACTTAATTTTCTTAGTTTTATAACTAATGGTAACAGTGTTAAATTTAACGTTGCATCATCTTAAAAAATATCTATTTATTTTGGTATGTTGTGAACAGCACATTGAGGCAGCACTGAGTCCAACTACATACTGTAGAAATAAATTGTCTGGATTTTTATTTTATTTTTGTTAAACATCAACAGGCCATAATGAAAATGAGCTAAAATAAAACAAAACTAATGAGTCTATTTTTAAAATGTGAGGAGTGGAAACTAGAGATAATTTTAGTTAAAAAAAAAATGTAAGGAGTAGAAGAGTAAAGTTTTCTAAAAAACAATAATTATTCCAGTAAAGAATAGAACAGATAGCCTAAATTTCTACTGAAGTAAGATAACCAAGTATTCATACTTTGTTATATGAGATCTCTGGTTATGAAGCATTAATGCATTTATATATTTGAACAATGAAAAGACTCACTCATTCAATAAATAGTCCCAGTTGCCTCTAAGAAAGTCCCAAACAAGAGGATGGCCGATAGCGTTACGTGCGATGTAAACAAGAGTAAAAGCAACATCCTGCTTCCGGATCTTCTCTGGATCCAAGCAAAGCTGTATATACCTGATATTGACAAAAGGGTTTATAGAAGAAAAACAATTAGTCTACTTAGAAATTAGAAAAGCAAATGAAACCATGAGGGTCAGTCATGTCTTTGTCTGAGACCTGTTTAGCAGCCAGGGCTCCTTGGTGCAGGACAGAGCGTACATTAGCTTCTCTGCCTCTGTGGCAATAGTAGCATTCATATACATTTTCCATGCAAAGTCCCACTCTTTTTCTCCTCCTGCTGCAATCGCATTGCAGTATACTGTAGACTTCAGGTTCACATTTATGCTGCAGTGTTTGATAAAACAAAAAAAAGTTAGAAAAAAAGTCCTAATGAATAATTAAGGTCCACTTTTTAGCAGAAGTTTACTTGTTGACAGCAGGGTTGTTCATCCACTCTTTGAACCATCCAGATGTCAGTTCTTTGCAGCCTTCCACTCCTGCACTGCAGGCCAAGGAGATGGCATTGACCTGATTATATCTGGACAGAAAGAATACAGCTACCATGAGAAGGTCTGAAACCACACAGCTGTCCACTGAAAGAAACAGAGGCAAAGAGCAAAACACGTCAAACATAATGCAAAAGCAAATTTCAGAAAAAAATTATTCCGATCTTTTTTGCTACATGTGCCGCAGCCTTCACTCTTATTTCAAATTCTAGAGAAAAACATGCATAGAAGCCTGGATTCCCCTTTGATAGATCCAACTCAGCTTTGCATCAAATTCAGCAGAAATCTGCTCATGATCCATTAATACAAATCAAGTCTGTGAGAGTAGCATCTCCAGATCAAGGGTTCTTAAAGTGGGGGGGTTATGAGGAGTGCTAGGCATAGAGCTTGGAATCCTGAGGTTGTGAGTTCAAAACCCACTCCCATAGACTGCTATTCTGGGTCCCTGAGCAAAGACCCTTAACACCACACTGATCTCCGGGTGCTGCAGAGTCTTGACCCCCACTTTAAGAACATTTGATCTAGAAATGCTACTTCCACAGATTTGATTTAGATTAATGGAAAAAACAAAGTAAACCTAATTAAGTTTGTCTGATTGTAATATTTGTTCTGTATTTTCTTCCCAATTCATCCAGTTCAAATGTGATTATAGGAGAGTTGCTCCGAGGAGCTCCAGTTTTATAAACACAGATTTATAATATGAATTTATTCTGTATTCATTTTCATTCCTTACTAACTTCCAGGAAAAACATTTATGTTGTTTTTTTCTTATTTGAGATGGAAAGAATACAATGATAAGAATTAAATGCTCAAATTGAAAGATTAGGTAAAATAGTTTTGTTTTATAACCAGTTATGGTACTGGTGAAGAATTTCAGTCGTCCTTGTCATAGTCATTCCAAAAAATAAAAAAACAATCCACTGGACTTTGTATCCAACTCTGAAGATGTTTCGGTTCCCATCCAGGAAGCTTTTTTCATTCTAAATGTCAGCCATTGAGTTACCATTGAGTTCCAAAGTTTATGGAGTAGCCCAACAAAGCCTTGTTTTGGTTTAGAAAATATGCAAATTAAACCAGAAGAACTCCCTGTTCCTAAGTCCACCCTTTAGGAATGGGGGGTTGTTTGAGGTATTTGTTAGCTTGCAATGCCCAATACTGGTCTGCTGTAACATAACGGTAGGAAGATTAAACACAAAAACATCTCCATCCCATACATTGCTGGAGTCTCTGAAAAACTCAAGAGGATTTTCTCCAAACACAAAATCCCAGTACATTTCAAACCAAACAAGACCCTTAAACAGAGACCTTGAAACGGTGTAGGACTTGCAGAGATCTATTTTTTTTTTTTATTATTTGTAAGAAGGGATGGTTAAAATTTCACCCATTTATTTCAGTATTTTTTACTCCCCAGGGTAAAGCTGTTGGGATCCTCAGGCTTGCCCACCAGAGGGCGCCGAGGATCCTCCTGTTTTATGTTGTTTTTCTCTTAGGACTGGGGTTACTGTTGGGATCTGGAGAGTTACCATCTGTCTCCAGCAGAGTGCGCTGTGGGTCTTCTGGGCTGGAGCCCTCCAGCACACCTGAAGCTCGTCAGTCCATCAGGAGACCTTTCCTACTTAAGCAGCGACCAGACCTGTCTTCAACGCCGCAGTGTTGACTAAGTTTGGAAACCAGGGGCCTGTTTCAATAAGGAAGTTCAACCAACTCTGAGTTCAAACTTGAACTCTGGGTTGACTTATCCTGAGATTGGAAACTCTGAGTTTTGGGTTTCAGAACAGCTGAAATGAGTTAGTTCAATCAACTCTAAATTGACTGACTCTGAGTTAAGCGTGTGCACCACAACTATAAAAAGCCATTATCAATGGAGCACAGATATTAGGAGTCACCATGGCAACAGCGTCAGACAAAAAAAGGTGTGCATATTTCTCACCAGCAGAACTGGATGTGCTTATGCAAGCATATGCAGAATTTGAACATGTATTTAAAAAAAAAGCAACACGGCTGCAGTGGTGAAGGAGAGAGAGTTAGCTTGGGTGAAAATAGCTGCTCAAGTCAATGTGTAAGTTTACATTTTAATTATTTTTATACAGTGTTGGGTGCAATTAATTAAGTTACTTAAGTCATATAAATACTGTAATTAAATTAAAGACTATAAAACAATAGTGGATTTAATATCAAATTTTAAAAGGTATATTTTGGTTTGAACTTTCTCCCTCTAGTTACACACTTTGGTCAATTTAAGATTAATTCATGCAACTGAATATTGTTTATTTGAAAGCATTAGAAGTGCAGTTTCTTGTCTCTCCTTGTATTGTTCAAGTTGTTGAGGTTGATTTGGGATTTAGAAAGTAATAAGTAAGTAAAACAAATTAGTAAGTAGACCAATACTTTCTAGAGACAGTAATTATTACATTAATCTAATTAGACTTGTTGAAGATAAAATTTGTAGTTAGTAATTAAGAACTATTTTAGAGTAACTTACCCAACTGTTATAATATCAGAGGTGAAACTGGAAGAACAGTATTTTATTAAACCTAATTTAGTTTTCATGGATAGGTGCAATCCTGCAGGCATCAAAAGAACATGGCAGCAGCTGAAAATGAAATATAAAAACATACTTCAAGCAGGTAAGCCTTGAGCACATCATGGGAGTAGAGTAGCTACCTGGCTTTACAAACAGGATCATCCATAAAAGGACATGCCATTTCATTCCCTTTGATGCGCTCTACGTGACTGAAATGTGTGCAATGAATACTGTATGTCCCCAAAGAATCAATGAGGTGTTTAAACACCACTTCCTCTTTAAAAAAGGGCAGGAGACCAAAATAAACTCTGGATTTTCTGAAGAAATCCTGCTCCCGACCAGGTTAGGTTCAAAGAGTAAATTCCCATGGTAACTGACTCTGAGTATAAGTTATCTCTCTTTCATAAACGGGCTTGACTTACTCTGCTTTCTCAGGTTTAACTTACCTCCCTTTCTGAAACAGAAAACCCAGAGTTTCCCTCATTTCAGCGTTAACAAACTCAGAGTTTTCACTTAACCTCCTTTCTGAGACAGGCCCCAGATCAAAGTCTGAAACTCTGGATGAGCTTTGTCTGGAAACCTGCCTGCCTGCCCAAGGAAGCCAAACCTGAAGGTCTTAGTCTGGATTCCTCCTTCAGCTCTCAGGGGAGAGCTAGGAAGTTGAACCTGAAGATCTCAGTCTGGATTCCTCCCTCAGCTCTCAGGGAAGAGCTAGGAACCATACCCACGTTTGAGGCCCACTAGCCAGAAACTAGACGCTGCTGCTGCTAACTTCAAGCCTCAGACCTCAGCCAGCCGTCTGCCTCTGAACCCTCCTGGTTCCCTCCTTCGTCCTGCTAACCTCAAGCCTCAGACTTCAGTCTACTGTCTCAGAATCCGCCTTGGACTAAAACCCCTCTGCTGCTCAACTCAGCTCCAGGCAGGAACTCAGCTTAGACCAGCCCTGGACCTGATGACTTCCTGATCTGCTTATTCAAATTATAATAAACCTTTGAACTTTTTCCCTGCCTCCTGGTTGTGTTTCTGCATATGGGCTTGAATCCTTAACCCATCATGACAAAAGCTTACCTTTAAAATGCAAAGAATAAATACTTAAAAAGATATATGAATACAGCTCATTTATATGAACCTTTTAAGAGTTCCAGTAACCATAACATTGCTGAATTTTTGAGGAATAAACAAGCAAAATATTTTTTTCCTCCCCACTGTCCCTACAAGCATGCTTGGTGCTAGGGATTGCCTTTGAGTCAATGAGTCGATGCAATCAGCTGGTTTTCCTTAGATAGAAAACTACATTGTAAATAACCTGACTGGATGATCTGGTTAAATTGTCTCTGTAAAGTGCCTTGAGATGACATGTGTTGAAAATATAAATAAACTGAAAAGAATTTATATGCAATTATTAAGGTTTCCAGTAACCGTGACACTGCTGAATTTTTTTCTGTCAAAAATTTCACTTACATCAAAATTTGTGTTTGCTTCAATATTTCAGAGATTTATCTTTTTCTGTCCGACAAATTTATGTTTAGCTTTGTGTCACATCTTTTACCGAGGTGCCAGAAATATTTGACAGCATGTATGTGCTCTAAAAAGAAAAACAAAACGGAAAAGATGCTAAACATTCTTACTGATCTGTGTGATTCTCTGGGATCTTTGTCCAGTTTAGAGTGAGAGCCTCAAAGTGATGAAACAGAGGGGTTACCTGCTTTCTTATATAGGCCTGAAGGTGAAGGACATTAACATTTATTTGTTATTTTCTTCTGTGATAATATGAGAAAATCACATTTATATTAAAGTCTTAATGTTGGAAGGATCAGTTATTGAGCAAACCTTCATGGGACCATACACCTCAGTGCGGTCAAACATAAGGAAGAAGTAATTCAAGTTGCGTCTGGCCGTCTCCCAGGGCATATATTCAAACTCTTTGTTCAGGAATGTAGTTGTCCTCAGAGCCAAGGTTGTATTTATTATCTTTGCCCTGAAAGTAAAAAAGAAAAAGAAAAAAAGAAATTAAACGCTTGAAGCTCAACCAAATGTTTTACTAAATGTTATGCTTACTTGGCAAGATTAAAGGCGTCATCGATAATCTGAGCTCTGTTGATCACAGAAATGTCCTGAAAATGAAGGAAAAGGCTGTGAGCAACATTAATATCAGCAACAGAGCAGAGCTGCTGTCAGTGTATGGAGTGAACTTTGTTCCAGTATTTTTGTAAGCAAAGAACCAATTTTGTAGATGGACATTTATAAAACTAATAATTGTTTTACTAATGGAAATTTGAATAAACAAATTAACTCATGTCCAAAAATTATAAATAAAAAAATGAAAAAAATTAAGAAATAATAATAAAATGTATTAAATCTGAAAAAACAGCAAGGTTCCTCTCAAAGCCTTTTTTTAATTAAGAAGTTAATTTCTTGATTGGGTTTTTATTTCCATTTAAGAATCGTTTTCTCTTATTGGAGCAATAATTGAAAAAAATTCACACCATATCAACGTCGTTTGAGCTCAGCTTGGCAATTAGACGCTCCCAGTTGGCCTCGTCGTAATTGACTCTATAGAAACCCTTCATGTTGATGTTGGCCACCAGCCAATCAGCATCGCCAACAACCAAATCTGGGTTTGTAACTGAGCATGAGGAGGAAAATACAGAGTTAATTAAACAACAACAGTAACCATCTCTCTTAGTTGTAATGAATCTAACCTTCCTTGCTGAGAAACCAGAACTGCTGTTCAGAACCACCCGTCTTAATCCAGGTAAGAGGGACAAACCACTCATAGCTTGAACCAAATCCACGGAACAGCACATGGAAACGAATAGAAGCAGCATTCAGAGACATGAAGAAGTTTGACACCTTTTTTTTTTTAGACGTTGGATCCTACTTGAACTCAGAGGGTCTGTCTACAACAGACTCTGGATCCAACAGGAAATGTTCCTGTGTGATTTTTCCTGTGCGGGTGTCGATGGTGACCACTGGGAAGCCCATTTGAAGAATCCAGCGGTTCATAATGTCCTCCACAGAATGGGGCAGCTGTATGTCCGCTTTATCTACTGCCTTAAAAAAAGCAAAGATTTGGTAAGAAAGAAGCTGCTCTGCTTCACGGAAAGCAAATCCAATCCATGTTTACAGCATATTTTCCAGCCTAGTCCATGCAGGTTTGGTATTACATTGCAGTGCCAAATTAAATCATTCTTATAAAAAGAAGTTTCTGCTCAATGATCACTAAGGTTCGTTCAAACGTGACATATTTAAGCCGAAACTCTATTGACCACCTAATAAAGGATTCATCAGTCTAAGATCGTCCTTGCCTCCTCTTCTTAAAGATGCCTAAACCAGGAGTCTGCAACCTGCAGCTCCAGAGCCAATGAGGCTCTTTAAGCCCTCTACTGTGGCTCTTAATATGGCAAAAAATGATATAAAGATTTAAGTTATACACTATAATAATAAATACCATTCCTAGAACCTTGTTGTTTTTTATAAAATATATTTAAATTGAATTTTTACTACAGAATGACATTAAAAGCATCAGAAATATATTTAGTAGAGCTATTTTTCTTGTTTTTTAATTATCTTCTTTTTTTGTGCATCCAATAATACTCTTTAGAAGAAAGCCATGCTTCATATTTATTCAATTCAATTCAGTTTATTTATATAGCGCCAAATTCACAACGCATGTCATCTCAAGGCACTTTACAGTTCAACCAGATCATACAATCAAATTGATACAAAGTTTTCTATCTAAGGAAAACCAGCTGATTGCATCGACTCATTGACTCTTCAGCAATCCCTCACACTAAGCATGCTTGTAGCGACAGTGGAGAGGAAAAGCTCCCTTTTAACAGGAAGAAACCTCCAGCAGAACCAGGCTCAGTGTGAGCGGCCATATTTATGAATTATGTCACTGTCTTATGCTAAAAAATAAAATATATAGTTTGTTGTTTAAGATGGCAACAGATTTCCAATAGCAGATTTTTAACAAAAATAAAAAGTTGTTTTATTATAAAAAGTCATATTTTGCGGCTCTAAATGATTTTTTTACGTAGCCGAACTCAGGGCAAAACGGCTCTTTGTATATTTAACGATTCAGAACCCTGGTATAAACCAACAAATTAGGTCTTGTGATTTTGCTTGTTCAATGTTTATTCTTTTGCATTTTGCGGGGGGAAAAATGTCTTACTGATTGCTCTGCAAGGTTATTAATTAGGTTATGGAGCCTTAGGGATGTTTATTGCTAACTTTAAAGATCCACAATATTATCAACATGCTATTGGTAACAGCTAACATTGATTAAAAAACAAAATATCAGACATCGTTTATTCCAACAATAGGATTCACCAGCAGTGCTTCTCAGGATTATGCTTACGCTAGCAGGTTACTTGCACCCAACTGATGCAAAAGTCTGTAACAAAGGAGATGCTTAAGTACAAAAGTTGCATAAACCGATACTGTAAATACTATTTGCACTACCTAAACAGGACAGGAGAGAACTACGCATTGTTTGTGAGTAGATCTAGGGTAAAATATTATCAGCTGATTTTGGTTTAACAATATCTGCATATCAGATATCAGCCACATTTCAAATGTTGTGCGTCCCTTGTTAAATGTAATTACTAGTACGAAATTTCACTTTTGTAAACTGTATATAGGTAGAATCACGACAAGTGGTCTAAGAATCTCGTTTTGTTAATTAAAAATGTTATGATTATTTATTTCAAAATACAATGGCTAATAATCTGCTGGTGCAATGAGGTATGGATTGAAAGCAAGAGGGGAAAAAATTATAACGTTTTGGTAAGAAACAAAAACACCAACGTGTAAATATACGTTAGGTTTGGTTTTTGTACAAAGCAAAGGGAACCACATGTTTAGGACTGAAAACACTGATTACTGCTGCATTTTATATTGTAATGTTATCTTATTCCAACTGCAGTGTAATTACACGTGTAAGCTGTATGTAGCAAAAGTTTGTTTTCTATAAACTGTGCATATAAAATGACAATAAAATCTAAGTCTCAATAGAACCTCATAGCAGCTTAAGGCCAAAGAAAGTGAGTAAAGAGAAATGATTGATATCATGTATCATTAGCATGATTGGAAAAAATGAAAGTTTAGGAGTGGCTTATTCAAAGTTAAGAGGTAAATCTGACTGAGATATGATTTAAATTGAGACAGTTGTACGAATAAGAAGAAGCCAGAATTTCTCCATTCTGACAGATTTGAAAACAGTTGATGGATTTAGTGTGAGGGAGGCCTGGTCCAGTTAGCCATTAATGATCGTATTTAAGCTGGGTTATCTTTCTCTGTAACCACAAAGTGTTTATTGACCTCAAACGGTAGTACAATTTGAAAGAAATAGTACTTTTAGGAGAAGGTTAACTATGCAGTACTTCTGTCTTTTACTTGAGTAATATTTTTGTAAAGTATCTCTACTCCTATTTGAGTGAAACTCTGACTACTCCGTCCTCTGGGAGTCATTTGAACTTTTCCAAATCAAGTAAAAATACAGTAAACATTAGATATTAGCAGTGGAAGTTTGTTACATTATTCTTACATATATACAGTTCTCATTGTAAGGATTGGTTCTCTCAGTTTTATGTTGAACAGAAAAAATTGCTAAAAGTATTTTTTTTCTACACCAACTTGTTCTTATATATTTGTTACATTTATTTGTATTTTTTAGGCATTTGAGTCTTTAAAACACATAAACTAAACTGGCACATAAAGTCTGTTAATCAGCATAATTTCTAAACATGAAATCTGATGTTATCCTACAGTTGCTTTTACTTTTACTTGAGTTAAAAATGTTTTTTAAAGTACTGCTACTCTTACTTAACATTTTTGGGTAATCTCCCCATATTGTAATTCTGCCCCTTCTGGACTGTTTGTTTTCTTTTTGGATTCTCAGTTATGCTTTATTTTATGTTATTTTGTGTTTGTCAGGTTTTTATAATTTTTTTCATTCTTGGTTTTTCTCTCTCTTGTTATTTCTTCCAGTTATCTCTTTTCAGCCTTTTTTTGGTATCTTTGGTCTAGTTTTAGCTGTAGTCATTAGTTGTTTTTTTTCCCCTTTAGCTTCATTTAAGTTCTTTCCAAGTTCCAGTTAGATCCTGTTTTCTTGGTTGTTCTTTGTTGCCCCCTAGTGTACGTTTCTTTCCCCTTATCTCCTTTTTAGTTACTCCTGTTCACACCTGCTCCCTATCAGCTGATTAGTCCATTCATTGTTTGTTTCTCCCATATAAACACCTCCTGCGTAGTTCCTGTATGCTGGATTCTCTTCTTTTTATGTGTATATTCCTCCCAAGTCTCTCCTGCTTTTGTTTTCAAAGTTCCCTTCCGGTTTAGTCTGGATTTATACTTCTATTGCCACCAACATCATTATTAAACCTACAAGAAAGCGTCTGTGCATTTGCGTCCTCTACAAATATCCACCAAACCTGACAACCCACCTCTGAGAGTCGAGTATCTAACCCGTTCTTCAATAAACATGAGAATCCCTGAAATCTTGTCCTTTGTAACATTTAGCACTAATTACTTCTTTTACACCTCAAACTGTTTTTCAAACTCTGAGGCCATCTTTTGTCTTACCATTTGCAGGTGCTTCCAGAGGTCCTTGTAGCCTGTGGTGCTATACTGAAACTCCTCTAGATATGTCTGCAGATAGATAAAATGTTGTTATAAAACTTGTATTGTTGTGAGGCTTCTGCCATTAAAAGGATGTTTAAATTATTAGTGCTAATATCTTGAATCCATACGCACATGAAGTCCTTTTGAGAAGACGGCCTCTGTGATAAATTCTGAGAGCATTCGGAGGACTGCTGAACCCTGCAATGGAAAACAGGTTTTAGATGGAAACCTTTGAGCTACGATGATATAATCACCCACTGTTCCCTATAACAACAGTTAGAAGAGCATCTGAATGAAAGGATGCCCCAATCATATGTTACGGTTAAAGCAACTGACCTTGCTGTAGGTGATGGAGTCAAACAGCTGATTGATCTGGTCTGGTCTCAGGATTTCCTCTTCTTTGGAGGAGAGGGGGTGGGAGTAAGCCGAAGCATCCACAGACATCACCCCGATAATCTCATTCAGGACTATTAATTCTTTCTGCGGATGCAAGTTAAATATATTTTCTATCAATTGCCTTTAACTTTTATTATTATTATTAATTAATTGCTAATTGTCATGAGAAAACACCTAAACTCACCATATTCCATTTAGGTTCAGCATAATCAGCTCCTAGGTAAGAAACGTAGGTGGCAAACCCTTCATTGAGCCACAAGTCATTCCACCACCTCATGGTCACCAAGTTTCCAAACCACTGAGAGGAGAGATCTTCACTCATTATACTTTAATACGTTTCACTGTAGGTGGAGGAGTACTTTATAGTTTACCATGTGAGCCAGTTCATGGGAAATGACGGTTGCCACCCACTCTTTGTCCCCGTTAGAGGACACTCCAGGATTATAAAGCAGTGCTGTCTCTCTGTAGGTGATCAAACCCCAGTTCTCCATGGCTCCAGCGGCGAAGTCAGGAAGAGCGATCTGGTCTGGAAGCAACAACTAAACTCAGAGCAGATCATCTTTTTATCCTTTTCTATTTTCTTTCATCTTCACAGCAAAAAAAGAAAATTTCTCAGAATCTGAGCGGACTGACTGAAGAAGTATGTTTCTTTAAACCTCTACCTGACTTTCTGAGAGGGTAAGAAGAGTTGTAGTAGTTCTCAAAAAATGCTAGAATGGGTCCGGTCTTCTCCAGAGCGTAGTCTCCCTGGCCTTCTTCGATGGCCTTCTTGCGAGCCCAGATCCTGATCTGAAAAGGCCAAAAAGAGAAAAAAATAGAATTCAAGCATCAAGACTCGAGCTGTAGACGGATATCTGAGTCCAACAGGGGGCAGCACAGCCGTAGTGCATTGATTTTACAGCTCTGTTTGAAATATGAGGTCCATTTATTATATACACTCATAAAACACATGGTTTAGGTGAAGGCTATGGCAGGCTGTTTTGACACTTATTAGCTTGACTGAATATGTTATCCAGATGTCTCAAATTCATTTCTTCTTAGTCAAAATGAACATTTCAGGTATCTAAAATAACATTCTTCCTATCTAAAATAAACATTTTAGAAATCTTAAGTGTAATTCTTACTAGTACAAATTATTTAACGTTTCCCATTCATTTGTATTGGGCTTTTACTTCCAGATATCTAAAATAAACATTCTTCCTTTCTAAAACTGAATTCTAATTTCAGATCTCTATAATAAAGTAACTGCTAGTCATAATTACTAATTCAGATATCCAAAATCTATTTAATATTATAGAACCCAGAAATCCAGTCATATATCAATAGTTGATATCTGCAAATATATTTCTATGAGTACAAATATATTTTTAGTTAATTATGAGTAGAAATATATTTTAGATGTCAAGACATCTGAAATATATTTCTACTCATAGAAATACATTTGCAGATATCAACTATTGAAATATGGCTAGTTACATTTTAATTACATATATCTAAATTTTTATAATGCCTATCCAAAATGCAGTTTTAGAAACTTAAAAACATATTTTGACTAACATTCAAAATAGAAACAGGGCTCTGTTTTTACATAAAATAGCCAGGCTGAGTAGTAACATTTCTATTATAGATAGCACTAAAGCATTCTCCCTAATTGCAATGACAATACTCCTAGTCAGAATTGTATTTTAGATATCACTAATTACATTTCTACCAGTAAAAAATTAAATTTTAAGTACTCTGGAATCAAATGAGTACTATTAAGAACTACATTTCAGATATCTACAAATCTTTACTTATTTTAAGCGGCCGTTTTAACATATATTTGTTTGTATTTCAGATATCTTTAAAAGTATTCCTCCTATCTAAAATGATCATTTCAGATATTTGAAATGTAATTCTTACTAGAACAGATGACATTACTTTTTCCCATTCATGTCTATTGGCCCGTTACTTTCAGATATCCGAAATTACATTAGTCCTATCAGATCTCCGTAATCGAATTGTTACCGGTCACAATTTTTATGACCATTATATCCGGAATTCTAATTTAACTAGTCATAAAATAAGTAGTTGATGTCTGTAATTAAATTTCTACTAGCAGAAATATACTTTAGATGTCAAAAATTGGATTTCTAGATATCTGTAATGTTATATTCATTTTTTGATTTCTGAAATTGTAATTTTGACTGGCAGTAACTCTATTATGGAGATCTGAAATTAGGAATTCATCCTCATCAGAATTTATTTTTAGAAAGAAAGAATGTTTATTTTAGATATCTGGAAGTAAAGTAGAAATAAAAGCCCAATACACATGAATGGGAAACATGATGTCATCTATACTATTAAGGATTATATTTAAGATATCTGAAATGCACATTTTAGATAGTAAGAATGTTATTTTAGATATCTGAAATGTTAATTTGACCAACAATAAATGCATTTGAGACATCTGAAATATATATTCAGTCAAGCAACTTAAAATTTTTAAAGATTTCTTGGTATTTGAAGGTTTATTCTTACTAGAACAATTATATGTTTGGTAGCCTGAAATGTAATTTTGCTGGCAAAAATGTAATTTAGGATATCTATATGTACATTTCTGGCTGGTAGGAATGCAGTTTTGAACAGGAAGAATCTTATTTTAGAGATCAACAAATGGAACAATAAGAGACGGCGCTTCTATTAAATGTCAAAAAAGCCTGCCATAGTTACCGATCATTTGAATAGAGCTTTCAGCTGCAGTGATCTGCTGGAAAAGGAAACCGGCAGATCCATAAAGCTTGGCAGCAGGCAGAAGTGCTGTGAATTACCCTATAAATATAAGCCTGAATTGATTACGGACATGATAAAATACAGCACATAAGCACGCCCTCAGCACAAAAGCTTCCAAATGGACCTTAAACAAGTCTGACTTTAGGCCTTTAAACGCTTCCTCCTGACTCCTGGAGCATGAGTCCTCAATGAAATATAAAATCTATTTTTGTCTGAAAAGAGGACTTTAGACTAGTGAGTAACAGTTTAGTCATTTTAATCCGAAATGCAGCAAAAAAAAAAAAGAGATCTGTCTTGTTTTTCATTCAAATTAACAAAGAGTTTTGGTGCTCCTCCAAATAAAATACTGCAAAATGATCTAGAAAGAAATAAAAATGTCTTAAATTAGGTGTATTTACGTTTGATTTGAGTAGGTAAATAAGATGTTCTTCCAAAGAATTTGTTTTTTTACTCTTAAAATATGATAATTGGATAATATGCACTTTAAATAAGACAATGCAATTGTTTTTTTTATTATTTTAAATGTACATTGTCTTGTTCCATTGGCAAAGCATCTCACCTCCTCAATTTATGAACAAATCCACCTATTTTAAGAAAAAAATTACTTTTTTAGATTTAGTTTTTTTAACTGTGTGTTATTGTTCTTAAAGGACTGACTCCACCTGCAGTCAACATATTGTTAATTTCTACCAAACGTTTCAGCATTCATTTAAACATTTCTTTCTACTCAAACTGCATGCATGCAGCAATTAGTCATTGACTTAGGAAATTTTATGGCTTACCCCCCCCCCCCCCCCCCCCCCCCCCTATGGTGACGATCTCTATGATAACTGCCATGTCAGCACTTTTCCTCCCGTAGTTACATGACACATCTGTACTTAAGCCCTTATTACATATTAAAACTGCAACGCTGCAATAGAGGTACAAACGTTCTTCTTTTTTGTCTCTCAAAGTTCTTATTTCTTAAGAAAAAAAAAAAAACATTTGAAATAATCAGTTTTAAGATCTGCAAGCATAAGCTGCATTAATTCCTTCTTTATGTTTTCATACGGCACCAATCTGTTTTATCAAAGGTCAGGGGTGGCGGAAAATATGGGGCTAATGTTTAACCACTTTATTGCATTTTCTCCTTTAATATTTTAGCATTGATTCCTTTATATGACAGCTTTTACTGTGGTTCCTATAGTCAGTTTCCACCTCAAATGTTCAAGTTCACAAGCAGACGCCTGCTGAGGTTTGTCTCACTCATTTCACTGCATATATATGTTTTAATTTAAAACAAATCATATTATCCTAAAGAAAACAACTTGTTCTGTGTTTCCAGGAATAATTACCAAAACTTCTGCATCCGGGTTTGATCCAATGTAGGTAAATTCACATACAACAAAAGCCAACAAGTATGTGGACATGATCTCTGTGGGTTCAAAGCTGGTCTGAATTAAACTCTCGCCGTCCACAGTGATGTTGACAGGCTCTGCGAAGGATCAGAAACAACAGCAGGTTCACAACCATAAGTAAATAAAACCATATGTAACCATAAGAGTATCTTATTAATTGGTTTTTGGGTGAGCAGCTTCCTCTCTCTCAGTGATAAAGGGTCAGACTCACCATAGTTCATGGAGTTAGACAAAGCCACCGTCCCCTGAGGGTGAATCAGAGTCATGTGGAAGACAGCTTTCATAGCTGGCTCATCGAAGCAGGGAAAGGCTTTCCTGGCATCTGTTGGCTGCATCTGAGTCGTCGCTACGACTCTGATAAGCATGAAACACAGTAATGATGCCAACGTGGAGGTAAAAACTGAAAAGACTTTTCATAAACTGGATTTTCCTGTAGATCATTAAACATTTTGACTCTTAATTTAATCTAAAGATCAATGCAACATATATTGCATTAGTTTTTATTGAATTTATTCTTCCTGTCTACTGCTTTTCATCTAGTTAGATTAGACGACCATCATTTAGCTCTAAACTACCACCTCAAATGAAGAGTCTTACTGGAGATACTGGGAGCAGATGCAGGCAAGCGACCGGATGCTGCTGCCGTTTTATCCCAGGTACTGAGCAGCTTGTCAAACACTTTGGGCCGGATCTATCAAAGGTTTGCGTGTATAAAAACGTGAGCTATTTCACTGCGCACGCTAAAAAATGTACAAACTGATCTATCAACAGCGTGCTAAAAGGATTTGGTCTTTAAAACTTGCTAAATAGCGCCTCTTATCCATTTAGTACTTTTTCTGCAATGAATATGCAATATGGGGCGTTTACACGCAAAAGTGCGTCTTTTGGGAGGAGAACATGTAAATATATTAATTTAGCACTCGCAAAGTGATTTATTAAACCTGAAAGCAATTTTGCTAACGGTATCTGACTCTATATTTAACACGTTTCAAAAGAAGGTGCAAATGGTCTGTATGCGTAATTGCGCACACATGGCAGCGGTTATTGTCGCAAGAAGGAGACATTGAAATGAAGCAAGGAGACGCAGAGAACGCATTTTTTCACTCCGTGTGAATATTTTTGGAATGAACGAGGAAACGATCATCAAAACATATCGTTTATCCAGCATTGCCATTTTGGAGCTGTTGGGGGAACTCCGAATGGATTTGGAGCCAGCCACAAGGAGGACCCACGCAATACCAGATATCACAAAACTCCTTGCAACGTTGCACTTTTTTGCATCTGGGTCATTCCAGCGTACGGTTGCAGCGAGAGCTGGGATCTCCCAATCTCGTTTTTCAGAAGTGCTGTCCGACGTTCTAAATGCCATGTCGCCCTGACGCCCTACCGGAGAACCAGGACCTCTGTGCCTGTGGAGCACTATGCCAATGCTGCGGGGATGCGTACGCGCAGTCATCTCATCCACAGTCACTTCTTGTGAGCCATTTGGTATGTGCATTTTTCTACAGGCCAATACAAAATACCTGTTTTTTTTTTTGTTTTTTTTACTGCAGTGAAGTAGAAATTCAGCCACATACCACCTTAGGGAATAAAGGTTGCCAAAGTTTTTATATATATATATTTTTGGAGGGGGTGGGGGGTCACTGTAAGAATTTCTCAATGCACTAGTTTGCACAAACTACAAACTACTTTGCCGCAAACCACAAAACGAGCCAAACCATCATTTAAATAGGGCGTCTCCAACAGTTTTGCACCTGCCACCAGTTACGCAATCACTCTTGTTAAATCACCCGCAAACCATGGTTCAGCCCCTCGCGCAAAATTCCAGTTTGCGAGCGCAAATTACTGCACGCAAAATTGGATCTTGATAAATCCGGCCCTTAGTGTCTCATCGGATGTTACGCTTTCTCTAAAGGCTTTTGTTGTTCAAGGCAGGATTGTTACTTACGCTTTGCTGTTTTCCTTTTGTTTTTTTGTTGGCAAGAGATAAAAAAAAAACATCTAACAATGCTTTAAGAAATGGAAGAAATAGCAGAACAGAATATTTAAACTACATCAGAGCTGAGGTCCAAAATGTCCAGGAGGAATCGCACTTTGAAGAAGATTAATGCCATTGAAAAGTAGTTGCATTAATGTGGATTTAAATGGCCTATTTGCCAGGTGTTTCTAGCATTGCCGTTGCCAAACTGGTTCTTATTTATCAAAGTATCATCTGTATTTCACCACTTAGTTACATACTGGGAACAATGGGAGAGACTAGAAGGAGGTCTTTACTGTTTTGGACCAGGTACTATTGCATCGTTTATATTTATAATATGTGTTTATATTAAATACGTCATTATTTGATTAACTACTATGACTTTTCACAAACCAAATTTGTTTATTCTAAAAATATATATATATTTCATACAAGGAAAAGTGTTTAGCTTATTGAAATCTTATGGTAGTGATATCATTTCTTCATTTCGTTGTTTTTAACAGTCTCTTTTAGTTATCTTTAATCTTTGTATTTCCATGTTTACTCAGTTAGGCTTAAAGTTAATAAAATAGGCTTCATGATACTTTGAATTCAGATCCTATTGATTTGATTTACAACTAGCTTCGTTTTCTTGTTATTACTAATAAGATCAATAGATAAATCTGTAAAAAAACAACATATTACTCATATTTTTTGTTGCATATTTAAATGGCATTAAGGGGGAAGTGATGCTTATTTTAATCCACTTAAAGCCCAAATTAAAAGCAAGACCCTGAATGTTTTCACAAAGATAATTTTAACTCATATTTCTGCTAATTTAGATGTTTATGGCCTTAAGCTAATAAAAGAGAGGCTAAAGAAAGATCTACATTCCTGGTCTGCACCTGAAGACTCTCTTAAGAAGGGTGGAGATGAACATAGTCATGTTGCTTGAGGTCAAATGTGATGTGGGGAGCCGCTGCTCGATCAGAGCCCAGATTTTGGTTTACATCTGCTGACGAGCTTCAAAGCGGCACTGGTTTTAGTTCCCAGCAGGACTCTCAGTACCAGTACCAGCCTTAGAAGCCATTGTTTCCCTGTGTTTTAATAAATAACTTGCCTCATCTAAACCTCTGAAAATGTTTTCTAAAGTCCGACCCAACAACACAGACCAGGTGAAGGAAGCAACCTCAGCTCCTCATCATCAGAGCCACAGGCTGCTCTCTATGCTTAAAGCCACAATTATCAGAACTAACAGAATCAAAAGCAAATCTAACCTAATCAACATCCAGATGCTGATATATGAGAATTTTAGCATTTTCTTCTTAAATCTCAGAACACGCAGTAAGTTGACTAACTTTTATGACTCCTGTAGTTATATCAGTAGAAAACACTTCAATTGATGTGTCTTAAAAGTATGATGAAAAACATCAACCTAACCCATTAAAAAATAAAACCCACTTTTTCACGCCGTCTTCATCGTATTCGCTCCTGTAGAAGCCTCCGAGGTCATCTGACAGCTCTCCAACAAACTCTGTGTAGAGTTCATACGTGCTGCCCTGCTGCAGCGGCTCGTTGAGCTGAATCACTAGGAACTGGGTGGGTTCCACCAGCTTTGTCTCTTTCATGGTTGGTGCTGTAGCTCCATCCAGACCCTTAAGTATGGCATGAAATCCTTCAAACTTGGTGAAGTTCAGCCTGTTGGAGTGGATGAGGATGAGGTCCGTCTTGTTCACACATCTGAACACCACCCTGGAGTGTCCGGTGAAGATGTACAGACCATCGGCGTTTGGCTGTAGCCGTGGCCATAGGGTGTTATTGTAGTAGACAGGAGAAAGGTTTCCTGGAAGCCTGTAGTAGTCCCATGGCTCTTTGGGTCCAGAAGGTGTGGTACTAGGAGTGCTGGTTGTGTTGGGTCCGGACGTGGTTGGAAGTAGCTGTTGGTTCTTTGCCCTCTCCTGACTGTACACCACTGAGAGGGCTATGATGGTCGCCAAAGCTGCAGCAGCTATAACCAGACCGGTCAGTGCCACCACTTTGCTGATGTAGAATCCTTCCCCCATGTCTCCAGCTCAGAAGAGGAAGAAGACAGAAGGAGGACTGTTACTCTATTTATGTCCAGCCTTTCAGAGTCCAGCCCAAGAAGTTAATCATTGATACAGTGGGCAGGAATCTCAGCTGAAAGTCCAAAACATTCCCATTTAAAATGTTCCTTATGATTAGAAAAACGTTCTGCCTTCACATAAACTTCCATCTTGGTGACCTTAGATAATGTTGGACTGGAGAACATGAAGCTAGATCTGTGTTTGTCCTTCTCTGTATGTTTTTATTTAATTTCAAGTGTGCCCGGGTGTGGCTGTCTGAATGTCAAATGGACTGAAGCTGCATCCTAACAGATACCAAACACGGGTTTATAGAGCAGACTAAACTTTTATGCTCTACATCATTTCATCTAATCTTAATTTGATGTGTATCAGAACTGATTTACTGTAAGATAAAGGTCTGAAAGTCAGCTGATTGATATTGCTGCTCAGGGCCAAAGGCAAGAAGAATTTTAAAGCAGAACAAATTTAAAGACTTTGCTGCAAACCCAAAACATTATTTGTTAGTCTACATAGAAACAGAATGGCGGGGATAGACTACATTTGGTACCCCAGAGGCCCTCTGTCCAGGACTTTTAGTTTTCCAGAGCCAGGATTCACTGCAGACCCATCTGACTCTGGTAAAAACCTATTCCAACTTCTCCCCTCTGGTTGGCGCTACAGAGCACCATATGCCAAAAACAACAAATTCAAGAACATATTCTTCCCAGAAATCATCACTCAGTTGACTCTGACTCACCATGTCTGGAATAACTCCTGCCCAAAAATCTAGCAACTCAACTTCTATACAGACTGCTTTGGACTCCTGCTTAATGTTTTAATCCACCTATTCTGTAAACAGTCCATCCAAATCTCCTCTTTATTCTGTATTCTGCATTTGAATTATTATTTTTTTAATTACTGCTTATTGAGCCCAATACTCATACGCGGCAATTAAAGCAGATTAAAGCTGATTCTGATGTGTTTGGGGGTTAAATGATAGTATAGGGGAGATAAAAGGGATTTTAGATCACTTTTACATTCAGGTCCTGTTATAACTCCAGGCCTGTAAACATAGTTTAGTTTTCTTTTCTTTCCTTTTTGTACAAATGCAATTATGTTAAGAGTCTTTAAAGAATCTGGAGAATTCATTCACCTCTTTGGAGGTTTATTTTTCTTCTTCAGGGAACCATTCAAGGAGTAATAGCCCACACTTAGAATCTGCTTGGATCCCTCTTACCTGCGTCATCGTTTGTTTTGTTCAAATTAATCTCTTAATCCAGCAAATGCAAAAAAAAAAAATTATAAAATCATGTTTTCCCTATTTTGCATCCATCTTGTAAAACTAAAGGAAGAGTGCCATCTTGGCAGGCGAACAATAGTCCAACATTGTCCTTAGGTGCCTTTCTAACTTATGCAAAAGTTACACATTGAGTTTCTCTGCTGGCTGATGTGCCTTTCTGTTTTAGTCATCATAGGTTTCGTCCATAATTTCTGTGAACGCCAGGTTGCATAACTGCAATAAAGGGTATTGTTTTCTACATCTGTGCCAGTGTTTTTGTAGAACCAGTCCAAACTGAGGATATATGACTCTGCTGGCTACAGAGAGAGGAGCTGTTCCTGTCAGCAGAAGAAAGTGTTAAATAGCAGATTGTTTTACATTGCTTATAATACCAGACCTACATTTAGGTGTGAATGAACGGTCAGTATGTTTGAAACCTTTTACGACTCTGTTGAAGCATCAGCCATCTTCTATGGTCAGCCAGCCCTATCTGAGGATGCCTTTAGAAAAATCATTTCACCAATTGAACATTGTCTCCTACTCCTTGCATTGATCCGTTGTCAAAACAGAGTTCCTTCAAAGCAAGTTAATTAATGCAGCACATTTGAGTAGCAACTTAATTCAGTGTTGCACATTATATGAAAACTTGCAGGGAAAAGAAGACTGAAAGAAGAATAAAGAAGAATTATCATGATCAATAGTAAAATGGAAGAGATTTGGACCAAAGTCCACTCAAAAAAACAACTTATTATTTTAGCATTTTTACGGTTTTGTGGTTGTTGGTTCACATTAGTGGAGCTTAATAACTTTAACTTCCTTTTTCATGTTTGGTTTTGGTTCTGCAGAGCAGATAGAGAGCAGGAGGTCTGAGTCGGTAACGAAGGAGTCCTAATTCATGCCTTATTCTAAGCCTCCTTAAAACAGAAAAATGGAATTCACTGTCGGTCAAAACGGGTTGGATCGGGCAGTAATGGTATAGCCTCGTGAGACCATCCTGATCTCGCAAGCTTTCAAGGTTTCACTCGCTAATCAGTCTGGCTACTTTCCGTTAAAGAAAATTTGGAGCCGTTCACCAAACGAACGTCCAATCAGCGTTGGCTTTGAGGCGGGTTGAGGTGTGACGCAACGAGAAGCGCGACAGTTCAGTCTAAAGAACATGACGGCTTCAGCCGATGAAACTAGCGTTAGCGTGGCTATCGAGCAAGTTTTATGGGAATTACAGAGTATTTCTTCACTGAAAGAAGAGCAAAACACTGCTCTGGAGGCTTTTCTCAGAGGAAAAGATGTTTTTGCTCTTCTCCCGACTGGTTTCGGCAAGAGTTTGATCTATCAATTGGCTCCTCTTCGTCGTCGCTCTGTTAGTACGTCATATGCTTCGTTGATCTGATTGGTTTATTTGGCCCGTCTATCACCAACATAGGCCAATCAGCTAACCAGTGTTTCTTCCCAAAATTACTTCAACAAAAGGTTTTCAGATGGATATGCGGAGCTAATCCATCTGGCGGAGTCAGGTTAGCAATGGTAGGCGACGGTGGCAAAATTGTGTGATTAGGAATCATTAGTTTTCTGTCACCCAAAACAGGCTTAAGATGTTTCTAGGTGAAAATTTAACTTTGTTGAGCTTAAATATTTGCTCAGTTTGTAAAGATTTTGCTTCATCAAAAAAAAAAAAAAGAGCGGTGTCGTTTCTCTCCACAAAAAAAAAAGAGCGGTGTCGTTTCTCTCCACCAGCTGACTTTGGCAGCTGTAAGCCAACAAGGCGACCTTCCCTTCTCTCCTAAACCTTCTGTTGGGTTAAACTACTACTGGAAACACATAACTCAGGGAAGTAATATAAGCCCATGTTTGGCTTATTTAAATCTTCTGTTTGTTACTCAGCAAATACAGGCTGATATAAAAGCGTAGCTTCAAAATTAGATCCATTTGTCTAACTCTAATCACTTACTGGAGGGGATTGGTTTTTTCATCTTGGACACAAGTCTTGGATTAAATTAACTTTAAAAAAAATTGGAGCAAAAAGTTTGGATACAGACCATCTTAAATGTGTTCTCAATTTTGTGAATTCAACATTCATCTGTATGATCAAAAACCTGATTGTTCCTGTCGGTAATATACAAATTATATTTTTTGAATATTACCCCTAAATGTATATATTTGCATGAGGAAATTAGTTTTTTCTTCAATTCTCTGAAATGCATCAACACAAAAAATGCTGAAAGAATGCCCTGTTTGAGTTTTGATGTATTAATAATGAAACACAGGACTCCTCATCTTCATCTTAATAATAACTGCTAATTTAGTAACATGGCTTTTGTGGTACTACCTTTAATTTGCATTTCTATAAAGATTTCTTCATCAAAGATAATAGCGTGTTATGTTTGTGTTCCCTTCAATAAACTATATTTAAATCAGCATAAAGAACAATAAAAAATATATATATAAAATCCAGGCTCCACTGGCTTTGCAGGTCTATTCCTAATGGTGTCACAGTTGAGACAGCTGCTAAAGGCTAAATGTCCTTATTCGTAGTTGATCACTCCCGGACTTCATTGCTTTTGAGGATGCAGCCCCTGCATCGAGATACACTCTTAGTTTTCACATCCATGCTGTTTTCTGTAAAGTTTGTTCTTTCTTTAATGTTCCTTTGTTTCTTATTCTGACTCCTGTTTTTAGTGGCATTTTTTTTTATCTGATCATTTTTGCTTTTTTCCTTTCCTTTTTTAAGAAGTGGGATCCTATTTCTTCTGTTTACCCTTTTTGCTTTAGTGATGGAATATCTGAATTTCCAACTGTGTAAAGAAAATGATATTTTTGTATTTATATTCTCCCATAGGACCTTTGAGAATGGGCTGATTGCCTTCGTGAGTAACATCTATGAACCAATCCAAGGTTAACTCTTTATTACTGGAAATTACAGCTGCGTTTTACAGAAAGTAAATAATTCCTTTAGGCAGTATCTCCACTGGGACTGTAAAATAACTATGGTAAGAGCCAAATAAATTACTCTTATATGTTGTAAGGTTTAAGCATCTATCCTTTGTAATTATTGAGCTTGTTTCTGACATGGTGGCTGCATACTTAAAGAGGCCAGGACTGGGAAAAAGTGAGGCCGTCAAAAAGTTAGTAAGGCCATCAATGAGTTAACCTGGGTATACAGGAAAGTGAACTGTCTGCACTTGTGCACAGGTGTTCAGCTCTGTTTACTGGCTTTGTCTCCTGTTAGGTAAGAGGCTTTTCTGTTTCATGAGTTGATTTAGATATTGTCATGCGTTTGGCTCTTACTGTGTGAGCATTGTTCTCGGGAGCAGGCTGTGAGAATCACCCCGCCTCTAAACTACGTGAGGACGTGGGCAAGTTAGACGGGGTTGTTTTAGTTAGGAAGGTAATGAGTAAAAGGGATGGTTGCTTTAGGCTTTGTGCCGTGCACGTGTTTTCACTTCATTGTAGTGTATAGCCTTGGTGTGTATTCAGTTGCGTGCATGTATTTTGTCAGAACAGATGCAAAGATGGAGGCCCTTGTGACTAATTCCACAAGGGAGCAGCTTGATGTTTATATCAAATGAGGAAATTCACTCTGCATTTAACCCATCCCATTGGGAAGCAGGGTGGGGTATAGCCTCATGAGGCCATCCTGATCTCGCAAGCTTTCAAGGTTTCACTCGCAGATCAGTCTGGAGACTCTCCGTTGAAGAAAATTTGGAGCCGTTCACCAAACGAACGTCCAATCAGCGTTGGCTTTGAGGCGGGTTGAGGTGTGACGCAACGAGAAGCGCGACAGTTCAGTCTAAAGAACATGGCGGCTTCAGCCGATGAAACTAGCGTTAGCGTGGCTATCGAGCAAGTGTTATCGGAATCAGAGTATTTCTTCACTGAAAGAAGAGCAAAACACTGCTCTGGAGGCTTTTCTCAGAGGAAAAGATGTTTTTGCTCTTCTCCCGACTGGTTTCGGCAAGAGTTTGATCTATCAATTGGCTCCTCTTCGTTGTCGCTCTGTTAGTACGTCATATGCTTCGTTGATCTGATTGGTTTATTTGGCCCATCTATCACCAACATAGGCCAATCAGCTAACCAGTATTTCTTCCCAAAATTACTTCAACAAAAGGTTTTCAGATGGATATGCGGAGCTAATCCATCTGGCGGAGTCAGATGGTCAATGGTAGGCGACGGTGGCAAAATTGTGTGATTAGGAATCATTAGTTTTCTGTCACCCAAAACAGGCTTAAGATGTTTCTAGGTGAAAATTTAACTTTGTTGAGCTTAAATATTTGCTCAGTTTGTAAAGATTTTGCTTCATCAAAAAAAAAAAAAAAAGAGCGGTGTCGTTTCTCTCCACCAGCTGACTTTGGCAGCTGTAAGCCAACAAGGCGACCTTCCCTTCTCTCCTAAACCTTCTGTTGGGTTAAACTACTACTGGAAACACATAACTCAGGGAAGTAATATAAGCCCATGTTTGGCTTATTTAAATCTTCTGTTTGTTAATCAGCAAATACAGGCTGATATAAAAGCGTAGCTTCAAAATTAGATCCATTTGTCTAACTCTAATCACTTACTGGAGGGGATTGGTTTTTTCATCTTGGACACAAGTCTTGGATTAAATTAACTTAAAAAAAAATTGGAGCAAAAAGTTTGGATACAGACCATCTTAAATGTGTTCTCAATTTTGTGAATTCAACATTCATCTATATGATCAAAAACCTGATTGTTCATGTCGGTAATATACAAATGATATTTTTTGAATATTACCCCTAAATTTACATATTTGCATGAGGAAATTAGTTTTTTCTTCAATTCTCTGAATTAGAGTATTTCTTCACTGAAAGAAGAGCAAAACACTGCTCTGGAGGCTTTTCTCAGAGGAAAATATGTTTTTGCTCTTCTCCCGACTGGTTTCGGCAAGAGTTTGATCTATCAATTGGCTCCTCTTCGTTGTCGCTCTGTTAGTACGTCATATGCTTCGTTGATCTGATTGGTTTATTTGGCCCGTCTATCACCAACATAGGCCAATCAGCTAACCAGTATTTTCGCCCCTTCCCAAAATTACTTCAACGGAAGGTTTCCAGATGGATATGCGGAGCAAATCCATCTGGCGGAGTCAGGTTAGGGGTTAAGGGTCTTGCTCAAGGACCCAGAGTGCAGGGTTTGAACCAGGTGCTTCGAACCTACTCAGAGCACAAGCGCACTGCTCTAACCAACTAGGCCAACACTTCCTACGTTTATGACATTTAAGTGATAAAGCAGGATAAGAAAGACTTGACCAGTCATGTGACCAGGCCACCCTGGAATGGTTACATGACTGACGCCTGGCCTAAATAAATCTCCCAGTCTACCCCTACGAGTCCATAATCACATTCTTGAGAATTGAGAAATGGCCATGCATTGCTAACAAAGCCAACAACACGCTGAACTCATTTGTATGGTTATAAATCAGTAGGTGAATTTTCTTCACCCAGAATACATGTAACTTTACACATTCTTGTTATCTGGACACAAGACTGGCTAAAGATGTCATTTAAACACCAGAAGTTTCAATTTAATGTGTTTAATAAGAGGTATTTTATGTAAACATCTGTTGTTGTTTTTTTAGGTGGAATTAACTTTTAGGGTATTTAAACCTCATTTACAGAAGCCCAGAATAATTTACTCTTAAATTCACATCAACGTCATCCTCTAGGAATTATTCGATCGTAAAATGAGCAGTTAAGGCTTTGTACAAGGTGAGAAATACTTATCAAGTTTGGGTATGTTTTGTTTGTTTGTGGGGTGGATAGACCACAAGGATTTTAAACTGCCCTCATTAATCAGGTATCTTTACCACTATCAGATTTGACTTTTTATATTTCAGAAATATTCAATATTATAGGCTAAACATTATTCAAAATGTAAAATGCAGAAGCTTATTTATCAGAGTTGTTAAAGAAATTGTGTTTTTAAGATTTTGTTGAAATGTATCTTCTTAAGAGTGGTTGATAAAACAAAACAAAACCTAAACAGCTGAAGATGTTTTCTGTTAAACTCGTATGATTTTGCAGAAGTTAGAAGGTAAAAAAAAAACAGATCTATAGCTATCAGCATTACATAGTGCAGGGTATGTTAAACATCCACAAGAAAAAAATCTGGTAATTACAAAGGAATGCAAAAGACTTGAACAATCACTGTTGGCTAGATCTTTTTTTAAAGTAAAAAATGAGTAACAGAATTGCACCTCTTCAAAAACAACCAGGTTTTTTGCTGATTTCCAGAGAAGTCCTGTTTAACAGATCACCTAAAATAAAATGCACAGAAACACACAGTCTGATAGGGAACTGCTCTAAGAGTTCTTTATATTAAAGCTTTCCCAGCTTACCTGCTGTACGTCCTCAGAGGTGCTCTGCATGCTACTGCCATACAACAAAACTTTCCTTTCTCAGAACAAGACAAAACTTTTGAAGCAATCCTTTCCAAACTTGTTCCATCATGTCTGACCTTAAAGACTAACTGTTTCTGCCTTCTCTGCTGAAGGTTATCATAAAAAACAGCATTTTGGTCATGTCTGTAATAGACATTTTAGAATATATTTTCTTTTTACATTGTTGATTTAAATACAGACATGAATGTTGCACATATCTGTACAGTCTCGAGTTTAAAACGAGTCCAAATGATTCTGATCCGTTAATACACCAGGAAACCCCAAGTTAAACAGGAAGTATTTCATTCAAGCTTAAACAAACAGATGTTCACTGATGGTTTCTGTCAAACGGAAACAATGAGTAGATGCTTCACTGAAACAGTCCAACATGCTGGATGCCAAGGCTGAATCTCCAGATGCACTCGCATATCCTCTCAGGGTATCTTATTTTTTCTACAGCTGAAATAAGATACCAAAGTGAGGAAATATTGGCTCAATAACGTCAACATACTTAATAGTGGCATTATTAAAGTCAAAATAGGAGGTTATTAGATCCCTTACTCTGATAAACATTTAAATGTTGAAATCTCTCCCTAAACCTAATTTGTGACCTCAAATTAAAAACATTGTTGTGTGGTTATTATCATGACTGTTGTGCAACCCTTGTTATCAGTCCATGTCATCACCTTGAACTGTGTCAGACCGGCTGCTTCGGACAAGCAGAAACAAGGGAAGTGCCTTTAGCACGCCATTCATCATTGGTCCTAAACTATAACAGATGCTGAGTCTTTTCTAAAAAGTTTTTGATTTATGTATCGCTGTTCAGTAATAATAATAATAATCTCTCAACTTCAGATGATTCTGAACCTGACCAGCAGCAAACCTTTTTTAGGATAATTTGGTTATTTTATGAAATCTTACTTTGTCTTGTTTTTCACTAATAAACTGCAGGGAAAAATTAAGCTCATATAAGAATGATTAGTATGAGAAAATCCTTCAGTAACATTAAGACAACAAAAAAATGTACTTAATTTATCAGATCAAGATACACTATATTGCCAAAAGTATTTGCTCACCTGCCTTGACTCACATATGGGCTTAAGTGACATCCCGTTCCTAATCCATAGGGTTCAATATGACGTCGGTCCACCCTTTGCAGCTAGAACAGCTTCAACTCTTCTGGGAAGGCTGTCCACAAGGTTTAGGAGTGTGTTTATGGGAATTTTTGACCATTCTTCCAGAAGCGCATTTGTGAGGTCGCACACTGATGTTGGACGAGAAGGCCTGGCTCTCAGTCTCCGCTCTAATTCATCCCAAAGGTGTTCTATCGGGTTGAGGTCAGGACTCTGTGCAGGCCAGTCAAGTTCATCCACACCAGACTCTGTCATCCATGTCTTTATGGACCTTGCTTTGTGCACTGGTGCACAGTCATGTTGGAAGAGGAAGGGGCCAGCTCCAAACTGTTCCCACAAAGTTGGGAGCATGGAATTGTCCAAAATGTCTTGGTATGCTGAAGCATTCAGAGTTCCTTTCACTGGAACTAAGGGGCCAAGCCCAGCTCCTGAAAAACAACCCCACACCATAATCCCCCCTCCACCAAACTTTACACTTGGCACAATGCAGTCAGACAAGTACCGTTCTCCTGGCAACCGCCAAACCCAGACCCGTCCATCAGATTGCCAGATGGAGAAGCGCGATTCGTCACTCCAGAGAACGCGTCTCCACTGCTCTAGAGTCCAGTGGCGGCGTGCTTTACACCACCGCATCCGACGCTTTGCATTGCACTTGGTGATGTATGGCTTGGATGCAGCTGCTCGACCATGGAAACCCATTCCATGAAGCTCTCTGCGCACTGTTCTTGAGCTAATCTGAAGGCCACATGAAGTTTGGAGGTCTGTAGTGATTGACTCTGCAGAAAGTTGGCGACCTCTTCGCACTATGCGCGTCAGCATCCGCTGACCCCGCTCCGTCAGTTTACGTGGCCTACCACTTCGTGGCTGAGTTGCTGTCGTTCCCAAACACTTCCATTTTCTTATAATACAGCTGACAGTTGACTGTGGAATATTTAGGAGCGAGGAAATTTCACGACTGGATTTGTTGCACAGGTGGCATCCTATCACAGTTCCACGCTGGAATTCACTGAGCTCCTGAGAGCGACCCATTCTTTCACAAATGTTTGTAAAAACAGTCTGCATGCCTAGGTGCTTGAATTTATACACCTGTGGCCATGGAAGTGATTGGAACACCTGATTCCAATAATTTGGATGGGTGAGCAAATACTTTTGGCAATATAGTGTAGTTACCTCATAAAATATCATCTCAGTCCATTGCTGAATTGTTGAATGATGATTTGAAAAGTTTTCTTTTTTGGTTTTGAAAACAAAAAGGAAAACAGTAATGTGTAATCGATAATTGTCGAATTGATTTGTTTAAAGCGGTTCCCAAACTTTTCAGATTCTGACAAACCAGAGTCGTCTCACGAACAGGAACCGACCAAAGGAGGTTTTGTCTGTTTTTAAGTTATGCATCTCTATATCACTTTAGCATAAATATTTATTTCCCTCGTTGTCTCCTCTCACACCTGCTCCTTGTCAGCTCGTTAGCCCTCCCTTTGTCTCACTCAGCTATATATACTCTCCCTCTGCTCTCTCTTTGTTGGTTCCTTGTCTTTGCTGTCCTCCCATGCTGTTGTCCACCTACCTTGTCTCTCCCTGACTCCTAGTGTTTGGTTTCCCCTAGATGTCTCCATAGTTCTGGTTTGCTTTTCTTTATTAGTTGGATTTTTGCATTCCTGCCTTTGTTTACTTTTTCCTTTGATTAAATCCACAAAAAATCACCTCAGCCTCTCTGCCGCTGCATTTGGGTCCTAAACCACAACCAACCCTGACAGATTGATAAAAAACTCCAACTTTAGGGATTGATGGTTTAAAGAACTGCCCATTAGACAAAACAGTGGAAAGACTTAAAAGTAGTGAATAAAAATAAAAATTCAGACACCCCGAAAAATACCCATCCTAAAGCTTAGTGGTGTTGTTTATGCAGTCCAGTGCAGCAAAGGCTTTATGGACTAGATAGGGACATCCTTATACACTTTTTAATTTCAGATCCAACACCGATATTGCAGCTTTGAGTATGAAATATAACAATATTGACCCAATATGCTATTGACATGAATCATACATACTTTGATTGCAAATTTTAAAGTGTGGAGGCTTGATCAAGTGATATTTCTCAGACAGAGAACAGTAAGCAACAACTTGAGGTATGAAAACAGCTAACCCATTTCTTATTTAGCAGATAGAAGTGTTTCTATGAGCTACCTAATGTCTGAGATTTTAGAGGCAGGTCAATAAAGTTCAATATTCTTTTTTGGCTAATATCGCATTGATTTCCTAAATCCTTATTGAATCAAAACTGTCTTATTTTGGACACCTGTATTTCAGAAACCAAACAACAACAAAAACCCATGGTGCAGCCCAGGAGAACCAGCAGCTCTTTGCAGGATACAGGTGTAAATTCACACCTCAAGAACAAAGTACACAACTTTGACAACTGAAATGTTCAGATTATGTACTGAGAAGACAGATGGTTTGAAAAGGGGGAGGAAGCCATCTTTGTTCAAAGAGAACAACCATCACTGAACGAGGGGGTAAGAATACAGTTTCAGCTCACATGCATCTTAAATAATATAAGCTCACTCATCATGATTCAAATGGCCAAACATAAACCCATACACAACAACCCAGGAGAACCATGAGTGGGTGTTGGATTTGCATCCAACTTAGGACGATGGACCCCCATGCTGTTTAAAAATATCAGCACTTCAATTATAGATTGCTCTGGTGAGAGCCAACATTACCTACATAAGTGTCTTCGGAAAAACTGAGCAAAAGTCTGGTTGCCTCCTGCTTTGTAGTTTCCATGAGCCATATTTGCACACTTCCTGTTTATCATAGCCCAGCGTAAGCTAAATGCGTGGTAACACTACGCTATGCATCGCCTGGCTACCTCATTCCAGTGGATTGAAACACTTTTGATTTGCTTTTGCGTTTTTATTTAACAATATAAAAGTTAACTCAAAATTTGCATTACATGTGGTGGAAAACAAGGCTAGGAATATATTAAAGGTGCATTGTCACAATATATGCCTATACAAAAAAAGACTGAAAACCATGATGTCAGGATTGTGCCGAAAGTCCACGCACCTAATAAATACTCTTACAAGCAGCTTTACCTCATACAGACTCTCATAAAATTCTACTCACAGGCATATTTTGCATTTTAAATGCACAAATATTTTACCACTTGCCCCAAATATATCCCCCACGAGTGCTTTTTCCTTCTTTGCACGCTCAAAGTCTCCCTCGTCTTCGCGTGTGGACCTGCTCTCTGCTCACTCCTGTCAACTTGTCTTTTTGAAGGCGTTACCCACCAGACAACAAATTTAGCCTAAACTTTTTTTGCATGCCCTATAACCCTTTTTAATGGACAACCTACAGCCAATCAGAATCCATCTTTCATCCAGACCATGCTATATAATGATGACTTTGCTTTTCAACTTCAAACCCTTGAAGATAATTGGTTAGTCTTGACTTGATTTTCCAGTAGGAAGAAGTGTACAGCCTCAAGAGGCAGGTTTTCCTGAAAAGTAGCCAATTACAGACAAAATAAGCGTATGTAACACATTAAATATGCATGTGGGGAGTAGTTTATGAGTGTCTGTATGAAGTAACGCTGCTTGTAAGTGTCTATATTGCCTGTGTGGACCTTTAGCAGAATCCTGACGCCATACAAACCATTTATCGAGTTAAGTTATACACACCGAATATCTGTCTTGATAGTGTTTATATAACTTCTATCTAAGCTTTAAAGTCGTAGAGAAACGGCTCTTTCAACCGTTGCATTTCCGAATTCTCCCGAGTGGTGTCCAACTTTACACGAGTGAATAAAGTGAATGTGATTGGTCGATTATCAGGGGGGCGGGATTGTTGTGGCGGAAGCTTTACAAGCAAGTTTGGTTGTGGCCGGTTTCTCTGAAGCATCTTGCTAACCAGTTAGCAACTTAGAGCTAGCAGGTTCCCAATGGGAAATTCCATTGGGACCAAGTAGCACTAAATTGGTGACTTAGAAACGACGCTGTCAAGGAACGCTATGGACAGCGGAAACACGCAAGAGGAGGAGAGTTTAGTGTCGGAGGTCGTGGATGAGTCTCCTCCGTCTTCCATTTTTTATTTAGAGGAGGAAAGCGGGGACGAAGATGTTGTGGAAGAGGACGCCAGGGCGGCAGAAGCTTGGTTTGGTGTAGAAGGCTTCCAGCCGTACATGTTTGAGCCCTTGCCTCGCAACGCTGCCAGTTCTGTTAGCTCTACGCCTGCCGAAGACACAGACGTCCATCCCCGTGAACACTGGGACGCAACTCAATGGGAAAGGAAATTATTCTCATTTCTTATTTCAACCGTTGCGTATATTAGCTGAGACACATGAATCAAGATGCTATGACCAAAAAATTTGATTGACAGATGACCGTTGATATATGATTGGCCGAATTTAGGTGTTCAGGCTGACGTACAACTAACTGGCCTGCAGAAGATAACAGGAAAAAAAAACAGATTTTAAGAAAGGATTTTTTTAATAATAGAAATTTTAAACTTTTGGGACAATATCATCTGATGAAGAGAACATTTATATAGATGTTTAAGCCATAATGATTTGACATTTAAATATGACTTCCCTACGATTTTAACAGATGTGTTTCCAGCAACCACATCTGAACGCCTCAGCAGACGGTATTCCCAGCCTGTCAAGAGTCTTATTCCTCTCAGAATCTAATATTTTTTGTGATTTTTTTTACACCGGATCTTATATTTTTCTTTATTATTTCCTCACCTCCCTGGGGGGTGCTAACTGGCTTAGCCCTGGTAAGCTACTTCCTTGTTGACCCCCTGCACACATGCTGAGCACTGTTCCTCTGTTTTTGTAGATATACAAGAAAGGCTTCCTTGACTAACAAAGTGAGCAAAAACAAAGTGTACAACACAAAAAATTATAAATACTGTAATAAAACAGAAAAAACATTTAATTTAACCAGAGTGACTTACACGGCTAGGAAATTAATTTTTTTTTTAAATAATATGACTATGCACCTTTAAGCTTTTGAGTGCAGCTGACACTTTAATAAGACATTCCTCTTTATCGTTGCATGTTTTTTTGATTAGTACTCATAGACAGGAGGCAAGCAAATATTTTTTTTAATTATCATCTAATTTGTTATATATAAAGTGGTGAGATTAGTTGAACAGTTCCAGTCTAAGTTTCTGGATTAAACCACAAGTGGAGTCAGACTATGTTATCTCAAAAGCATTTATTTCCTAAAACCATTTCAGTGAATCACGCTTATAGAGTATATATATATTTTTTTTTATTTTGAATACATCATGATGTTGCACAAAATAAATGTCTAAGAAAATAAAATTATTGTTTACCTCCTGCTTATTTCAAGTGATGCACAAATATTTGTGCATCTTCTTGTTTTGCTTGATTTCTATTATTCTTTCTTTCAAACATCATACAATCCAGACTATACAAAAGCAGAGCATCATCTGAAATTTCCCGCCACTGTCTTCTCAGAAAGCCACTCAAGAACTTTATCTTTGTTTTCTGCCACCCATTTTATGTTGGCTGTCGTTTTTTCAATAGCTTGCACCAGGGCCATGGTAGCCGAGCCAAAACCAAGCTGGCGGTTATCTTCTTTGAATTTCTTCAGCTGGGAGGGAGAGAAAAAAACAAGAACAGAAAAAAACTAAAGCTCTTCATATAATGTTAAAATATGTCTTTTGCTTTTATAAAGAATTAGAAAAATCCCGTGTGTGGTTCAGCGTGCTTGTTGCCATGGGGGCTGCATACCTCCTGCAACTCAAACTCTGTGGAAAACCTCACTGTGATTCCACTTATGAGATTAGGGAAGGAAAACGATCCTTTTCCATACCTACAGAAAAAAAAAACACAATTTAATGGAAGGGCTCAATGTGCATCCTGCCTATCGATCGCAAAGGAAACCAAACAACTGACCTCTGTGGTGGACCAAAACCGGTGTATTTTAAATAAGATTACAGCACAACATGTTGTGAATCCTTGTCAAGGAGTCGTAAATATATACACAGCTTATTTTTGTTTTGCAAACTCAGTCATAAGAGGTAAAAAAAAAAAAAAAAGAAAAACAGTCTCTTTCCTCTCAAAGTCTCATGTTGGGTTTTTATCATTCATTAAATACCTATGCACTGTTTTATAATGGTGGTCATGCCTCTTAACTTTATTTTATCACGTTGCTATTGTAGACTGATGTATGCCTTTGGGGATTTATCTTAAAAAGCCATGCAATTTTTTATGCAATTGAAAAGCAGAGGGAACCATTATTTCTAATTAAATAAAGATTTTGAAAGGGCCTTAATGACAGTAATCAGCCCAACCCAGTAAGATGTTTTCTAGAGTTCGTCTCTGCCTCATTTTCACCCCTAGAGCCTAAAATACTGACAAACCTGCCCAAAAATGGTGGGATTGGAAGGAGAGCATCACCAGAACTCAATATGATTCTGGTCTGGACTTTCTGAACTGGGCCGGTTTGGCACAGCTGCAGGCTTTGAGGTGAGCAAATTTTTGCTTTGTTTGTTTATCTTTCTAGGAGATTTTAACCTGTTATGTAACTTTATATTTTATTTGCTGCTGGAAAATAATAAAAACATGAATTTGAGACAAAGGGGGCCAACAGATTTCAACTGAATCTGACTGTTAAGCCGGTTTAAAGAGGCCAAAACACATAGAAAGAAAAAAAACACGTAACCTTTTTTCTTCCCCCTCCAAGTTATGGAGCACTATGTTCCAATAAATCACACATTTCCCCAAAACAAAATTTTACATTAGGTAGTTATTGTTTTTTTTATTTTTTATAAAGTTTTCTCTTACTCTTGGAAGATGTGGCTCCATTTTGCTCGGACAAAGTTCCAGGCCAGGGGCATTCCTACAACGTTGTAAGCGATGTTCTGGATGGTGGAGGTGGCGTCTTGTTTTCGGATCTTGGTCGGGTCGAGGGTGTATTCCAAATATCTGCCTCAAAGCAGAGTCATTAAGTCAAAGATTCACTTTGAAGGAGTGTAAAACATTACAAGGCAGCTTTTGGAAGTTAAATCAGTCACGTAAGTTATGTGTAGGCTTCTTTTCAGGTAGGACACAGTAAACAGAGCTTCTAACCTTAAGAGTAAGAGGTGAAAAGACTCAACAAAGATAAATTTAACTCAGGATTAATGAAAGCACAATAGTGGATCATAGATGCACATAGGACAAGCATAAACACACGCAGGATAAGCTTCAGTAATGTAATCCGTCAAAAAAAAACAAAAAAAAATCATGAGGATTATGTTATATTTTACTTTAGAATTATTTGTAGAATGTATCGTTGTCCCCTTTATGTTTCTATATTAGATTATAAAGCTAATAGCAAGTGCATTTAAATGATCAGTGTATTCTCATTATCAGTTAGTATGAAATCGTACGAAAAGTGATGCACAGTAATTTCGTACGTTTTTGACGTTTTTTTTGTCGTATTTTTACGTCTTGCCTCGAGACAAGATATCCTTGCGCATGCGCATCTTACGCACCATTCAATAACATAGAATTTAACATAGAATTAACCCTCACCCTAACCCTAAAATACAAAACATGCGCACTGATCTGTTTTTTCGAGGAAAAACGTCAAAAACGTACGAAATACTGTGAAAAACTTTTCGTACGATTTCATACGAACTGATAATGAGAATATGTTGAAATGATTTGGTATTTGACTAAAATTACAAGAATGTTCACATGAATAAATGCTTTTCAGGTTTTATAACAGAAACAACAAAAATGTAAGATTTTAGAGCAGTTTTGTATTTAGACCTACTGAATTACCATGGAGGAATATCTGATTAATTAACATTGCTTTTGTTAAAAATACATTTATTAATTGTGTTCAAACAACCACCATAGTGTTCATAATATGGTTAAGGAATCACAGAGATGGCATCTAAATATAATGACTAATAATTATAGAAATGAATGCCTGAGCTGGTAAAATGTCTTTAACTTTTAGTTAAATCTGTCCATGCTGCTGTGAGAGACACAAAAATAACGCACTTTGTTAACAAATGTAAACATTTCCAATTAAACATTTTCAAATGAATTACTTATGAAATCAGAGTACAAACCAAAAAGTTTGTTGAGGTGTTTTAAACTGTTTCTTTCAATACGTATTCTAATCTTAAAGCATCTTTTCTAAATGAAAATAAAATTAAGTTTAGAATTTAAACTGAGAAATGATTTACACTATTAAACAACAAAATACATTTCATTTGAGATCATTTGCAAGTTAAGTTTGTAAAATGTTCACTATCATGTGCTTAGAAAACTCTGTCTCCCTCCGGCTGCTAGACTTACAACAGAGAACCATTAGGAAACACAAGACTGTGATTAAAAAAGAATGAGTAGAAATGTGTTCAATTGAATTTAGCTTTAATAACCAAGCAGTTAAGGTTTTAACTGCCCAATTATTAGTAAGATATTATAAAAATAGTACCGACCTGTTCAAAAGCCACGGTATTTTGGTGCAGGCCATAGCCGACCTGAGTCTGGATGCTTCCGATGCCAGAGTGGTGTTCTTAAACATTCGCCAGGCGAAGTCCCACTCCTTGGCTCCCCCAAAGGCTAAGGCGCTACAGTAAACTGTGCCTTTCAAGTTGGGATGGATCCTGACCAGCAGAATGTAGAGAAGATGGAAAAACAGAGTGAGTCTCAACATAGCATCCGTGTTTATATCGTTACATTATGCTCTTCTTTTAAGGCTTTTAAAGTCTCTAAACCTGAAAAATAAGTAGTTTTTTGTTTTCACTGAGCTGAAAAAAGCAGAAACAATCTGGAAGGATTTACAAACACAAAGATCAACACAGTGATGATTGATAAGACATAGAGAAACACGACGTAATGCGTAGTGTCGACAGTGAGCAGATGCCTCATATACAGAGCTTTGAGGTCTTCAGTATGGGTTTGGTTCTTTGGCTGTATGTCTTCCTCATTTCTTTCCTTAACCATTTCCTGTCTGATTACTATCAGATCACCATAGCGACACAAACAAATACAACAAAGGCAAAGACAGATTCATAGTTGGGGATTTAAACCTTCAATAGATAACCCTCTAAAGGAACTAGAAATTGAAAGTTTATTTAGATCAGAGGTCTTCAACAGGGGGTCCGCGACCCCCTCGGGGGTCCACAGAGGTCTTACATGGGGGTCGCAAAAGTTTTGGTTGATTAGACTTTTTTTTAAATTGCTCCCTGCAATTTTTTCCCGCTAACTGAAATGTCTTTAAATCCACGTTAACATGAATTGAACAGACTGTAGTAAACAGATAAATGGAGGCAGAAGATGTCTTTCAGTCATCAATGCTCACATTCAGAGACACACAGGAGCTCTTTCAATCTGGGCACCGTTTCATTCACAACACCTGTCCAAACAACCAGGAATCAGAAATACTTTAATAATCCCAGGGTGAAATTACATGACTCCATCTGTAATAGAGTGACTTAAGGAGCAGTTTGATAGAACACTATTTCATACAATATATATAATTAGGGGTCCCCGCTCCATCTCGCCATCAGTTTGGGGGTCCTTGGCCTGGAAAATGTTGAAGACCCCTGATTTAGATTATGGATGGATGGATTCTCATAAATATTTTTTACTGTTTTTTTCAGTCATGAATAAAGTTACTAAAATATCATCCAAACTGCTCCTTCTTTTACTTAGGTGTTATTATTCTGCAGTTGAGATCCCAGGTAATTTAATTCAAGCCAACAAAGTGTAATATTTTACTGTCCGGGGTGAGCTAGTAGCAGACGGGGAAAGGCAGGAACTGGAGATGAATGGGAATGAGTCAGACAGTTCAGGAAGAAGCAGACTAGAACCACAGTAGCAGTCAGAGTTAGACTTGATCAAGAAAAGAGGCTAAGCTTTGGGTTGAATCTGTGGTGAAGATCATGTGAGACTTAAAGCTGCACAGAGGATCAAATGAGGCCTGAAGCTGCTGCGTTCCCAGTGAGGCAGAGCAACAAAAACAGGCAAAGCAAACAGTTACTGGGAAACAAATCGTGCAGGCAGAGTGAAGAGTGGAGCAGGTAAATAAAGGTAGGGAAACAGGTGGAATGATTGGGGGTAATAAGTGGCAGCAGCTGGAGCTGACTATGGTGCTGAATGGTGGATGTGGGTGACTGAGGGAAATGCAGGTTTAAAAGGGAATCAGTTAGTCCAAAATAAAAAAAAATTAAAAAATAAATTACATTAAGTGATAAGCAAGGGATGATTAACACTCAATTTTCAAGAGACATCCCATAAAAGAAGTTTCTGAAAATTAGTTTTAAAAAGTCAAATGTTTATATTAAAATGCATGAACAGAAATACATATTTATTTTCAAATCAACGCAGCATTTTTCTACTCTCACATAAAATTAATAATAGATAAACTCCACCATCACTTAGAAGTGCAAACTTAAATTTGACTTAAGGAACGCTTTTAGCAGGGTTGGCATGGAAACAAAACAATTATTTTGTCTTAGTTTTCTCTTTAGGTCTGTCATACAATGAGAAGCCTTGGGGAAGAAAATAAAAATGCAGTTTGGATGATCTATTGGAATTAAATTCATGAGGGAAAAAATGCAGCTTTGAATTTAAAACGCAGGAGGAAATTTGTTTTAAAAAATTTTGCGTTGAAACTGGACATTTAAAAACAAAAATTTGTCACTTGTTTTGGAAATCTTTCAAAAATTTAATATAAAATTGAAACGTGAATGAAAACAGATGCCTCTGTTATCATTAGAACTTTAAATATATCTGGCAGTTTATTTATAAAATATAAGATATTTAATATTGATAATAAAATGATGAATAAATTAATTTAAATGACCACCTATCTGGAAATACGATTAGTAATCGAGACACTCAAATACAAAATATTTATGATGAGATGAAATTTTTATGTCTAATGTTTTTAATAAAATAACAATAAAGCAAACTAGATGTTTAGAATTTGATGTTTTGCCATTTGACTGACTTCAACTGGCTAAGAATAACTTTGGGAAAAAAAATGCGTTAAAAGCATTTTAACAAAAACAAAATATGCTTTTTTTTATCCAGAAAGACTTTACTCCCAGTATTATTGTCAAAAATAATGTTATATATTGCAAGCGCATAATGCTGAGAAATTAAAGAGCAATGTGATGATAAACTAAGTCAGCCTGTTAGTTAGCTTCATTAGATCACAGCCACTTTTAAGCAGTGTGGAAAAAAATTTTTGTTCTCAGACATAATGAGCAAATTACAGGAACATTTGGCCTTTGACTACAGAGACCGCTTCAAGTTTAGTAGTTTAGTCATGTGACTGTACAGGACTCTCCAGGATCACCAACATTACAGCTCCTCAGCCTATCAGAATGTCCCCTGCTCCGTCGCTCCACTGAATATCTGAAAGAATGAAAATTTGCTAGTTGTAATTAGATTGCAATTAACATATTGTGTTACAAAAATAGGAAAAGTAATTAGTTTGATTACGGTAGTTTGAAAGTTTCTGTGCCATGTTTTGATTATTGATAGTTTTGTCTTCTTTTTTTTTTACTCATAGTCAGGTTAGGTGAAGCAGGCAATGATCATATGTAAACAATAGAAAGTATTGGATTGCTTTTTGATAAAATGCAAAATCTGCTCTGATTTTTTGGCTTTTTAAACAACAAATAATATTTCTAAATGTCACTTTTCATGAGATTTGTAAATTATTTACAAAGCAACCATCAGTGACGGTTCTTTTTAAAGCTACAGTGTGTAACTTTTAGCGACATCTAGCGGTCAGACTGCAGACTGCAGCAACATGAACATCCCCCCCCCCCCACCGCTTCTCCCCCCCAACAGTACGGCGAGCGTTACGGGACAAAATGTCTTCCACGACGTCTGCATCAACTACCTTCTCAAGTGATGAGGTTTGTTTACATAGATAATTTTACAGATAGTATTTCATTAGTCTGTGTAGGGTATAGATTTCATGTAGACTTAAGATAATAAATATACCCATTATTTTTTCTACATCATTGTGACATTTTGGCGATCTCGCAATCGCTAGTTTGTTGGCTCTGCGCTGCCGTAGCGCAAAGATGTCTGCCTCCATGGCTGCGAGACCCGCTCCTATGTAATTATAAATAACGAATTCTAAGGCAACGCAAATATTAAGGTTAAGAGGCTGAGCTCGTAGATGATGATAAATAACATAGTTATGTATAATATATTACATGTCTGACTGTATATCCCTGTAATCATTACACACTGTAGCTTTAAGGCTGCAAAATACAAATACTTCAGCTACTGAGTAAAAAGTAAAGCGAAAGGTAAATACTTGGTAATTGGGTAGGATGCTACCAAGTTTTGGGCATAAAAAGGGGGCTAAACAATTAGCAATGTGTGTTGATGTAAAATCCACAATTCAATAAATGTTATTTCTTTATTAAATAGCTTCTGAATCACAACCCAAACTTTCAGGTCCGCCTTCGTTAGTGTCAGCACATGCGAGTTAAAGGTGGTGAGGGCTTTGATGTCTAGCATGTGAAAACACTGCAGTTTGTAATGGGTTATGATTATAAGAACATGTAGCCAGAGGCATTGTGGGGGATGGGACGTTTCTTCAAATGTTCCCACTCTGGAAGATGGTTTTGAACACTGTAGGTCTCACGGCAGCTTTGTCTGGACCAGACGCCGTATCAGGCATAGAAGATTGTCCGACACACCCACACCTCACCTCATATCGACTCTGCCAGATGAGCAAATGATGGAGGAGACTGATCAGCCAATCAGTGAAGGAATCTCATCTGTACATTAGATAAAAAATAGGAAATGGACTGCTCTCTATTTTTAAATAGCGTTCTTAGACAATAAGAAAACCAAAGATCTCATCCATTTATTATGGGGCCCACTTGAACTGTTTTCACATTTGTATTCAGGGTTTGACCTTTTAATTGAGCAAACTAATCGAGAATCATAATCATTCATTAATTACTTAACTATACAGTTTTTAATAACTGGCTTTAAAACTGTAAGCACTCAAACAATTATTTTTTTTTATTTATCTACCCCAAAGTCATAAAATCTTTCATGTTTTTAAGATCCTAAAACTGTGTGTCTGTGTGAAATTGGATGCTAAAAGTCTAACAAGAACATAAGGAAAGAGCAAAGCAGTCAAAGAAAGTGGAGAAACACTCACCATCTTACATTTGGTTTAAAACAAAGATATTTTTAAACACAAAGATAATTTTCTTCACACTCACGGATTGTGACCTGGATTTTCCATCCACTGTCTGAACCAGTTGTTGATCAGCTCCCTGCAGCCCTCCACACCCACACCACATGCTATCCTGAGAGCATTGATCTGATTATACCTGAGGAGAAACATCTGCTGGTCAAACAACGAGGAGTCAGAATGAAAACTAGATCTGGCGTGATGAGAATCCTTACTGGTCCGTGTGTCCAACAGGGATTTGAGTCCAGTTGGAGGTGAGCGTTCGAAAGTACTCGAAAAGGGGTTCGATTTGTTTTTTAAGGTAGGCCTTAAATAAAATTTTAACAATAATTATTTCTATCTAGAAGTGACATTGTAAGCTGTAGGAAGTTGGTCAGACGAACCTGTAAGACTCCGTAGACCTCAGTGCGGTCAAACATGAGGATATAGTAGTCCAGGTTTCTCAGAGCTGACGCCCAGGGGATATAGTCTCTCTCTTTTAAAAGGTATTCTGTTGTTCTCAGGGCCATTGTTGTTGGGATTATTTTTGCCCTACACAAAAAATTACAATGAATTGTTTTGTTTTGGTTGTATTTTTTTTAATAAGCAGCCCTTATTTAAAGGATTTTGTAGGACCTTTTCTTACTGTACCTTGCCAGGTTGAACGCATCATCAATGATCTGTGCTCGATTCAAAACAGACAGAGTCTGAAAGAGGAAAGAAGAGCCCAAACAAGGCGGTGAAGTTTTGTTTTATTACAACTTCCAGTAAGTGATGGGGTTTTCATTTTTATCCAAAGAGGAGAGCATCAGGTCCCTTTGTGTTCAGAGCGAATAGGATGCTGCCTACCAGGTGGCTGGTGTTAAGCAGAGATAGGAGACGATCCCAGTTGCCTTCATCATAGTTAACCCTGAAGTAACCTGACACGTTTGTGTTCGCTAGCACCCATTCATTTCCTGAAACTCTCATCTCAGCGTTGGTGTCTGGGAGGATTACAATTGCATTAACAAGCATTTAAGTACAGCCATCCAAGTAAAATAAATATATTTTACAGGGTTCTACAGTGAGAATTGCTGTGAACGTACCTTTTTCCATAAGAAGCCAATATTGTTGCTGATCCATGCCATTCTTCATCCACTTAATCGGGACAAACCATGTATAACTAAACAAAACAATATGTTGGTTAAGATTTATATATAATATTTAGCTTACGGTATGCATAGCTTGTTAATGATAAATCGTTTTTACTCTCATCAACTTGTTCATAACAACAACAGAAATGCTACTTAGAGACTCAACATTACATCATAATGAATTTGATGTCTGTTATTTCAGGCTCAAACTGGAAGTTTGTTTATTTTAACTCTATAAAATGAAATTATGGAAACCTTGGGATGCAAATGAGTTTCTAGAAAAAAGCATTCTTTAAAATAATTGTTTGCATGAACCCTGGTGCTTAAGATCTACTGTCCTACAGATTTTAGATACTCCAACAGTTGATAAAATTTAATTACATTTTCAGGATGCCATCAAGTTTTGAAAAAACCTTGTTACAAGCCATTAATTTGTTTCATCTGTGTTTAAGCAGGGATGCATTTAAAAACTGCAAGTCGGTAGATTTTAGGGACCAGGGTTGGAGATCCCTGCTCTACAGCAGTCTCTCATACTGAGAATGCATATAGCGACAGTGGAAAGAAAAACTTCTTTTGAACAGGAAGAAACCTCCAGCAGAACCAGGCATAGTGTGAGCGGCCATCTGCTGAGGCCCACTGGGGATTCGAGGAGTTGGAGGAAGACAGACAGGAGAAAAATAGAATCCCTGATCTGTAAATGATTTCTATATTAGAAAAGATAATGGTAAACTAGCTCCATATGTGGCTCTGTCAAGGAAAGAAACATTTCAGCAGTTTCCATGCCAAAAGAGATGAGAGAGACAGTCAGTCACAGTAAAAGCTGAGTCAATAGTTATGTCTAGGAATCTATGATTAGACCAACATTTATCTAATACTAGAATGTCACATTTGCTTTCGTAAGAAACTGAAGGCAGTGTTTTTATAAGCTGTTAGGGCATAAGTCTAATAGTTTCAAATTCAAGAATAATAAAGTTAAAAACATTTATACTTGAATTGGGACGGCATGTCCACTTTAGAATCCGAGTCCAACAGAAAGTGTTTTTGGCTGACCCCTCCTGTTGTGGTGTTAATCGTGACCACTGGGAAGCCCATTTGGAGAATCCAGCGACTCATGATGTCATGTACAGATCGTGGAATACTCAGATCTGGCGTGTTTTCAACTGCCTGCAGTCAAAAAATAAATAAATAAAAGCAGAACAGTAATTTTATGTGTTTTCCTGGATAAGCTGTGTAAAATAAGGGCCAGCACATCTGGCAGCTTCAATCTTTTCTCTGACCAACCTGCTGGAGATGATCCCACAGGTCTTTATACTCTGTGTTGCCAAAGGCAAAGGTGTTGAGGTATGACTAGAAAGAGGAAAAAACAGGAAGAAACAATGGGTAAAGTATTTAAACAACAGGATGCAATACATTTCATATAGTTAAACAAACAGATAGATGTTGCTCAACCTTGTTTTGTCAAACCAACTAAATAAAAAAAACCTTCTAGCTACTGTAACCTTAGAAATCACAGCAGCAGTTACATTATTAAAATGTCTGTACATTTTAGGTAAAATACAACATGTATTGTAAACATACTAACATTACCAAGCTAGCGATTGTTTGCTTGTTGTTGTTTACCCCTGAGAGCAGTTAAATAACGTCCCAAAAGCTGAAATAATACTTTACATACTTCTGCAAGTCCCAGTTGAACTTAAAAAAAGCTCCAGAAGTTGCAGAAGTGGAGAAGGAAAAATCAAGCCATATCTTCCATTAATCATAGTGGGCAATCTGAGATCTTTGAAAAAAAAAGGAACTTGCACTTGCAAAGACCCAGCCAGGATATAAGGAATGGAGTAATATGTGTTTAACTGAAACATGGACGCAGGAACATATCCCTGATTCCAATGTCGGGCTCTAGCAATACCAATAGACAGATATTCAAAGATAACTTGGAAATGCAAGGGAGGTGAGTTGGCAGGGCTTGTGAACAACATATGGTGTCACCTAAGACATTTTACTCTGAAACCGCTTGTTGCAGTTAATTTTTATCCATATTATTCTCCAGAGAGTTTACCAGTGTTGTTTTGGTAACTGTTTACATTCCACCCTCTGCTGTTGCTTAAACTGCATGTAATGTCATCACCACAGGGGGCAGTCCTCTCACTATCCCCTTTTACTCTGTACACCTCCTACTTCCAGTACAAGACAGAGTCTTGTCATCTGCAGTAATGCATGGATGATTCTGCCAGTTTTTGGAAAAGAAGCTGAGTACAGAGTATCAGTGAACCACTTTGTGACATGGTGGGGAACCATGGTAGATTTCAAAAGAAACAGCAACAAGTCAAATGCTATTAAAATCATAGAGGGATTGAAGGTTGTCGAGGAGTATAAATATCTTGGTGTTCACTTGGGCAACAAACTCGCCTGGAGACGCAACAGTGATGTCCTTAGAGATCTTACGTCCTCCAGGGTTTGCAGCCAGATGCTGCATATCTTCTATGACTGTTGTGAAGACATTATCTGCTGGGGTAAGAGCATCAGAGCAAATGGCCTAAAGATGAGCTGATAAAGAAGGCTGGCTCTGACCTGGAAACTCCTACAGAATGTCTGGAGATCATTTCACAAAGAATTCATCATAAAATTAAGAACATTATTGACAACCATGTGCATTCTCTTTAGAAGACAGTTAAACAAATGCAGTGTCTCCATTCAAAGACTTCTTTGGATCTGGTGCAAGACAAACTGCTGCAGGAGCGTTAAAGGTACAGACAAAGTCAGACTCTGAGTATGTCTGTGGTTTAGGGACCCAGAGTGGCAGTCTGTGGGAGTGAGACTCGAACTCAGAACCTCTGGATTCCAAGCGCAATGCCCTAAGCACTGGGTCACCACACCCCTAATCCTTGAAATGTGTTGACAATGTCTTTATATGATGGCCTTACAGTCCCATTGCCATGGATACGTGGTGAGTGCCTTCGGGTTGGGATACTAATTGCATTAGTATTTAAGGATGGGGATGGGCGTGCAAAAATTCACTCAACACAGATGGGAATGTATGGAGGTGTGCGGCGACTCGTGTACCTAAATTTTTGGTTAATATCAATTTCTTTGTGTACCACACTTTTCTGCATATGGCCCAATGCCTCTTCCTTGCAAAAGTTCTCCAAATCTTTTAGATTACATCTCAGATTCCTCAGATTTAACGTTTTTTTTTTTTTTGTCTTATATAGTTAATGATTTAGACTTAATGAAACACTGGCCAAATAAATTCCTCCCCATCTTCAGGTTTTTAGCAGACTTACTTCCATTTGGAGCTTCTCACATTCAGAAGAACTACAGCCATAGAACTTAATCCCGCAACCACCAAGTTTCAATTTTGTCTTCTTCTGATCATGCTGATACTATGAAGAATACTTTATAGTATCCGGAATCAGAGCCCAAATTGTCCAGTTTGGTTTTATCAAACCTGAATGCATTTGAGATTTTAATGAGACTTTGATGTTTTCTTTGCAGAAAAAGCTTTAAGTGTAATTGACAGAAATGACTGCGGCTCTTTCTGTTTTACCCCAGGCATCCTGGCACTGTCAACTCCATAACCAAGTTCTTTTTTGTGGTTTTGTAAATTTTTTAATTTTAATTTTTTGTCTCTTTATATCTTTGGCTAAAGAGGCCATAGAATGATTCTATAGGGTATTTGGTCCTTAAGGTCTCTAAATAGGGTGTGTAACATTAGTTTGGCTGAAAATGCCATATTTGCTGTTTTATGCGCCCAAATGCAAGCCTGGCTAAGAGCCCCAGAAAACGACAGGTTTGCTCATGAATATTTAGATGAGCTGTGCGCTGATTGGTTGGTTTACAACGAGCGAGGCTGCTGAGCAAAGATGCATCATAGCAACAAGCACTCACTCACTGAAACATCAAATTGTTGATATGGTAGGGTGACCAGACATCCTCTTTTTCCCGGACATGCCCTACTTTTCATACCTAAAAAAAATGTCCGGGGGGAATTTCAAAATAATCCGGGATTTTAGTCGACTACAATGCAGCAGAACTGAGCCGTCAGCTCCCGAGCTGGTCCTGGATCTGGTCTAATTCTTGGAACAAATGAACAGCCAAGCATCAAACTTTGCAAGGATCTTCTGATAGGCAAAATAATCCATGCCTGTCAAGTCTTCGAATCCTTGGGAAGACTGTGAAAATGTTCCCCTTTCTCCGTGGAGCCTGGAACACTGCATTTCCACCCGTAGTTTTGGCTCATTTTCAATAGAGAAAGTGCCTGCTTTGTAACTATTGTAGAAGTTAACCCAACTGGAGGCTAAATAGCTCAACTGGTGTCTTACATCTACCTCTATTCATGTTCTTGGGCCAGAAGTGACGTCAATTCGGGGCTTTGTTTGAATTTGGTCGTTTTATGGTGGAAGATTAGAATTGTGAGATTTCAAGAGAAAGGAGATGTCGATGGGGTTTGTCGTCTCTGTACGTCCATTTCACCCACTGAACTATTGTTATTCATCTATGACATTGTAAACTCAGTTTTGTATTCTATGACACAAGGGAGGGGGGGGGGGGGGGGGGGGGGGGTTGAGGAAGATTAACACAAACAGCCAGTTAAAGTTAAAAGTGAAATGTGAAAATAAATCAAAAGGTGTTTCTGGTGGGATTCTGGATGGATTTCCTTTCTTCTCAAACCAGATTGTTGCAAAAACTAAAACTTGACAGCAGATAATATCACACATTAAACTAGGATCAAGTTTGGAGACGATACATCCTGAGGAATCATTTTTAAGTTCTGAAATCTCAAAAAGCTGCGTTTATATACCCACACTGAGTCCTTTGGCAAACACATCCTCGGTGAGAAACTCTGACAGCATCCTCAGCACTGCTGCACCCTGAAGGAAGAAAAAATGTATTAACCACAAGAATTCAAGTGGTTTGAACTTCCTATAACAGCAAAGCTGAAATCCGCTGTGCCTGAGCCAGTTTGAAAGGAAAAGATCAACAAAGGAAAACTACATAAACCCCCGACTGTGATAACTTCAGCAGGATAACCATTCTAACAGTTTTATAACTTCACATAGAGGCTGCACCTTGCTGTAGGAGATGGTGTTGAACATCTCACTGATCTCACTTGGCTCATTAACCTCCTCTTCTTTACGGGACAGCGGGTGAGAAGAGGCCAGGGCGTCTATGGCAAACACCTTTTGCATGTCATACAGAATGATTTGGTCCCTCTGGATCAAAGCAGCGAGAAGTCAGAACAAACTTCCTGAATTGTTATTCACTGTGGGGGCATTGAAATCTTTTCATTAAAAATCCTTTTAATCTTACAATGTTCCAGGTGGGCTCAACATAATCAATCCCAAGGTATTCCACATATGAAGCAAAGCCCTCATTCAACCACAGGTCATTCCACCAACCTAAGGTCACCAAGTTACCAAACCACTAAAAAAAAAAAAAAACACAGGTGTTTGTCATGTTGAAATCATAGAAACAACTTTAAAAGACATTGATTTTGGTCACCATTAGGCTGGTTTTGTTTTTTGAAAGAAAAGGAATAGGGATTTAAAGGCAGAGATGACAAAAGTACTCACTTTCCGTACTTGAGTAAAAGTACAGATACTTGTGTTAAAAAATACTCTGGTAAAAGTGGAAGTACTGATTAAACTTCTTTACTCAAGTAAAAGTAACAAAGTACAGGCTTGTAAATTTACTTAAAGTATAAAAGTAAAAGTAGAAACCACTTTTTCCATGCCGTTGCCTACATTTTAAATGGATGTCTGCCAATAGGACTAGATCTCCGTTGTGTTCATTTTCAATCATCTCGTCGTCCATGCTACTATGCTAACGCCACCGCCACCAAGCTGCAATGATTTGCCGCCAATGAATACCGCCGAATCTGTCGATTCATCTTGTAGTGGTGCGTCAAATGCAACGTAGATTCCCATCCAATTAGATTGAATTTGGTATTGATGACGTGAAAAATAATAACGGTAACTTCATTGAAATGATTCAAAACTAAAGTAACGAGACAATTTTTTAAAATGTAAGGAGTAGAAAGTACAGATATTTGTGTAAAAATGTAAGGAGTAGAAGTAAAAAGGCCATAAAAATAAGTAGTAAAGTAAAAATATCAGAAAAATATACTTGAGTACATTAACGAAGTATTTGTACTTCGTTACTTCCCATCTCTGTTTAAAGGAAACTCCTGCTTACTGCAGATAGAGGAAAGAAATGTACCACATCCTGATTGTGAGAAGAAGAGGGACATACCATGTGAGCGAGCTCATGGGAGATGACAGAAACGACCCTCTCTTTGTTTCCTGTAGAGGAAAGCACGGGGTCATACAGCAGGGCCGTTTCCCTATATGTCACCAAACCCCAGTTTTCCATCGCTCCAGCATGAAAATCCGGAAGAGCTATCTGATCTACAGAGAAAAAGGATACACTTAAGAAAAAAATGGACTGTTTTACCTCATTCTCAACTGAGAAATTGTTGTTTATGGTCCTAATGAATAAAAGAAAGGGCATACTCAAAACAATAAAATAATATTGATGTCTTAATCATTTCTATACATTCTTCTGCTTAGTTTGGTTTGGGATTAACAGCATTAGCATTCTGCTTACAGGCCCATTTTATGCCTTACAGTCTTCAGGCTCTCCCAGACCATCCAAACTTTAGTGGAAATCCACAAGGAAAAGATTTTGTAGGTGTTAGGGCAATACTGACCAACCTGGTGGTAGTTTACTGTTACTTTCTTATGTCAAAATGTTTTCTTAATTAAGTTTCCTCTCAGTCTATAAATGTTTTCTACACACCCACCATTAGGTTTAACCTTGCTATGTGAAGGAAACGCAGTCAGCATTTTATCTGCTTATCAGCAGCTTGACGGGGGGGGGGGGGGGGGGGGGGCGGTGTCACATCAAGAGGTTTTCTGTACAGAAACACAGCAGCTCTTAGGGTGACCAAACCCTCCTCCCAGCCTGATGTAACACAGTGTTAGCGCAGTCAGAAGAAGTTATCCACCCAAATCGAGGGTTCTATGTTTTATACAGAACTAATCTTGTGAATTTGAAGCCTGAGGTTGATTTGTATCATTTAAATGTCATACAGTATCTTACTATGTTGCCAGAAGTGCACAGTGTTAAAAAAATTATTTAATGTGTTCTTGTTTTTGCTACAGTGATACTCTGCATTTTCCTTCTTTGGAAAGGCAATTCTTATTGTATTATATCATAATGGCATAAGAACCCAGATATGCTGTCATGGAGATAAATACACATACAACTTTTGTGCTTAAAATAAAAGTGGCAATGCACTATGACTCTTGATGAGGAATGTCTCTGTTCTTGTTGCAACTCTAAGGAACTTGCAGGTACAACAGTCAGGATGTTTCTTTGCAGTTGTGACACTGAGTTCTTAGAAGGATAAATTCATGCATTTTTATTACATTTCTTAAAATGAAAATAAACATGTTGCCCTTAAAAGATAAGCACACATGGAAAACACACCAATCTCACATTATGCTATTGTCTTAAGAAGAAACATTTCTATCCTATAAATGTTGTCAACAAAATATTAATTTTATATTTTACTTACCTGACTTAGAGAGTGGATAAGTTGTGTTGTAATATTTCTCATAGAACTGAAGGATTGGTCCTGTTACATTGAGAGCGTATTCGCCCTGCTTGCTACCGATGGCTTTTCTTTGTGCCCAGATTCGAATCTGTAAGAGATTTACAATCAGATCGGGCTAAACAATGTTACCAGATCTATTTGAACACCAGAAGCAGGGAGGTTTGGTCTCACCAAAAACTTGCTTTCCTGTGAGACGATGGAATCAAAATCACAGACGATGAAGGCCAACAGGTAGGTGGACATTTTCTCAGTTGGCTCAAATGTTGTAACTTTGACAGGAATGTTATCCAGGATGGCGTCGGAAGAATCTGTGCAACATCAGCAGAAGCTAAACTTTGGCACTCTGTTAGTATTAATGGTTCAAAATAACTGATTTTATTTTTATTTTTAAGCTACAGCTATTAATCTGCAACAGGGAAACAATGAGTTCATCTTATTGGATTAAAAAGCCTGAATCATATTCACTTATGTCAGTTAAGATCAGTGTCTATGGTTTATTATTAGGAAAGAAACTGGGCCAATAAGTCATCTATGGGAGAGCTCTAGACCAAAACCACAGCTTACCAGAATAGAGATATGCGACCTCATGAAACTACTGTGTTACCTTTTCTTAAATATGCATCCTTTTAAATCTGGAGTTAAACCATGCAGGACAAAAAGATCATACCAGAAATTATACCTCCAGGGTGATAACCTGATGATATGGAGCTGCTTTGTAGGCCCAGGACAATTCAGTATTTGAGGGAACCATGACCCCTAATAGAAAATCCTGGAGGAGAAGGTTCCACTATCAGTTGGTAACCTAAGAACCAAGACACAGTACCAAGAAGCCAATCTCTGAATGGCTCAAAAAGGTCTGCCATAATGGCTGTAAAAACTCTTTTACCTGGTTGCTAGGTTGCTATTGATAATCATTGTTTATATCTCCTCTTGGGAATTACTTATTTCACCATCTGTCTACTCCCCAACACTGCATCATTTTCTCCTGGTATTTCCCTTTTTGGATTTTCTTTTCCATATTTACACAAAATACGTTTCAAAAGGAATATTTTCCAAAAGACTCTTTGAGTAGAGAGTTGTTTTTAAAACAAACCCATCTCCTTGCTGTTGGAGAGAGCCTTGGTGCCTGGGTCGTGGATGATGGTGACATTAAAAACTGCTTTCATGGCGGGTTCATCAAAGCAGGGAAATGCTTTTCTGGCAAACGTTGCTTGCATCTGAGAGGTGGCTACAACTCTGAAACAGTATTCAAGTGAAAATAGCACAAAAAAGGGCATCAGAGGGGCAAAATCATCAAACCACAACTGTATCTGAATGTGTGATTATAGTAAAAGAAATGTTCTTTATGGTTTCTTACTTCTTTACTCCATCATCCATGTATTCACTCCTGTAGAAGCCCTCTAGGTCGTCTGCCAGCTCCCCTGTAAACTCTGTGTGGAGCATGTAGGATTCTCCCACTGCTAGTTTTCCGCTCAGTCGAATAACAAGATACTCTGTCCTCACCACAAGCCAAGTCCTCTGTATGGTCGGCGCAGTGGCTTTACCCAGGCCAGTAAGAGTAGCATGCTTATCCAGATATGTAGTGAAGTTCAGCTTGTTGGCATGAATGATTATAAGATCTGTCTCTTTTTGACACCTGAAGAGGACAGCAGATTGTCCCGTGAAGATGTACATGCCTTCAGCGTTGGGCTTCAGCCGGGGCCATAGAGTCACAGAGTAAGAGTCCGGGATGAGGGAGTCTGGGAGTCTAAAGTGGTCCCACGGCTCTTTTGATGTGAAGGGGGTCGTTGGGGGTACAGAGATGCTACCAGTACCTGCGTCATCTCCAGGATTACCTTGATTCTTGGCTTTTTGCTTATCATAAGCAATAGATAGAGCGATTATTGTCACCAGAGCGCTGACGGCAATCACCAGAAGTCCAACGGCAACATTCTTACTGACATTGTAGTATTTTCCCATCTTAGACTCTGGATTTATCTCTGAGAAGTTTCAGTCACTTTTTGTCCAATAAACTGGAGTTCTGATAAAAACACCTGAGGACAAGAAAATACTTTAGTATTTTTTCATATTTACATTCATCACTCTTTTAAATGACTTAGCATAAAAACTTTAACTTGATACAAATAGATTTCACTGGATTTCACCAAGCACATTGCTACTTATTGCATTTTTTTCAACATATTGCCAAAAAATATTTTAAAATTGTGCTGCTAAAGGTGGATGTACTTTAGAATAACTTTGCTAGCTTTATTTTGATATTCTGCTTTGTAAGAACTTTATTTCCTCAATTCATGGATCTTTTTTGTTTTGTTTTTTTGTTTTAGCTCTGGTGTGGAATTCTGTGCAGCCAAAAGGGTTTTTGCCAATGTCCTTTCATTTTTGGCCATTTGTTATACTGTGTTACCATATCAAACCTAACAACTTGGGTTTTTTTTACACCTGGAAGCTGCTCAATAACATCTCAGTAGCTGACATAATACCTCAAGTACTTCTGAAAGTCCCAGCTGAGTTGAAAAGAAGGTATTGAGGATGCAGAGCAGGAGCAAGGAAAAGAGAAAGGAGGAGGAAATTCAAGCCAAATCTTTCATCCATTGTTGTGGGTCCCAGCAAGGACAAGTTCAATAAAGTACAGTACAGTAAATGAATTAAACGCCTCTACAGACTCAATACAAGACACACGGCCACAGAAGATGCTTACTGCTATCAACAACTTTTTGAAAAAAACTCCAAGGTACTACACCACTTACAGTAGTTTCTCTTTGGGATGAATAACATTTAATTACACCTTATAGTATTATTTTTCAGAAAAGTGTGTTGTGCAATAGTTATTTTACAATACAGCTAAATAAAGGGCTGTGCAACATCTGAATTAATGGGTCACCTAAGCAATAAATGGAGAGCAACCCTTGGAAATTTTAATTTAAGCATCAATGTTATTATTCCGAGGCCTTTGAGAGCCTGTTAGAGAACAACAGTTTCCAAGAAGCATTATGACAACTAACGGAAACACTGTGCAGGTCAGAAACATTGTGGTGAGTTTAAATCAAGGTCACAGCACAATATGTCACAGAGTAGTGCTTAGCTGACAAGTGGAGACTAAGCAGATAAGGGAAAAGGCTGGAGGACCATTGGTAACTGGAGGAGCTGCAGAGAGCCACAGCTCAGGTGGGAGAACCTTTAGATAACTCAACCATTAGTTGTGCACTCCACACTTTTGGGCCCAATTCCAGACCGTCCACTGAGCACTAACCCTGAGCACTAACCCTCTGTTTGTGCATTCCCGCAGAGGATCCGCCACATTAAAGGCCTTCCCAAGCCACGTAGCGAGTTGCTCGGGTGGACCAATCAGCAGTTAAATAGTCTGAATCAGTGCAGGATCGCTAGAACTGGGCAATGGCTGTAACGGCGAACTAGTTGCAGATAAAAAACATGGCATTCAAATATAAGCTCCACTGGTTTGCTGCATCTTTGTCAAACTGACAGAAAATTACAAGTTAGGTACAAAAACTTAACTACTTCCAAAATGGACGGTCCTCTTTGAAATAGTTTTATTTTTACCGCATACATTTGTTATTTGTTCTTCTTGTGTAACAAAAGAAGCCAAACGACCCCCATTTCAAAGGGGGGGACCCGTTCGTCCGTTTCAATTTGCATGTTTTCTAAAAAAAAAAAAACGAGGCTTTGTTGGGCTTTGAATAAGGCCTCAAACTCAACACTATTCCTGACAGTTTGAATTGAAAAAGCTTCTTGGATGGAAAGCGAAACGTCTTCATACTTGGAAACAAAGTCCAGTGGATTGTTTTTTTGTTTTACCTTTTTTGGAATGACTATGACCGGGATGCCTGAGAATCGTCACCAGCGTTTAACGTTATGTTACTCTGCTCCACAGAGCTACAGCCAAGCATATGAGGCGTCACTGTTGTGCACGAGCAATGACTGCTTTCCCTTTCCGTTGGAGGGAAGAAGCCTTCACATTCTCATGGACAACACTAAACATACAGCCGGAGTGACAACAGGAAGGTTTAGATCAAAGTTCATGTTAGATGGTCCGCCCAGTCAAAGTGCAGACCTACATCAAAATAAAACTATGTGGCATGACAAAAAGATGATCTTTCTCTAGATGTAAGTTTAGAAACACCTGCAGCAAAGGTGGTTTTACAAAGCCTTGACCTGTTCTTTAATGTGGCTTTTCACTAAAGGGTTTAATAAGTTAGTCTCAGTGAAAACTTTCTAAACCAGAAATCTTTAAACAACTTCATGCTCCAAAAGCTGAGGGGACAGTTTAAAGAAGTGCCCTTTGTCTTCTGAATCAATTGTGCAACGGTGTGCGAAACAAGGTCCATACAGTCATGGATTAACAAGTAATCATCGTCTCTATGTGGCATCCCTGAAATAATAAGAAAGAGCACATGGGAGAAAAACACAACATGAGTGAACATGTTTAAAGGATCTATTCCTGATCCTGTGCTGGATGAACTGTAAATCCTGCTCCAACTGTTTTTTGTTTTTTTCCCATGAGAATCCCACTTTCTCTCCTCCTGATCTTTTGCACAACTAAACACGGGCCTCAAGCTCGTGCACCATTATTAGGAACACCATTTCGCATAGCTAAGTCAGATAAAATGTTGCTAACACACAGCTATGAGCTGTTAACTGTAACCTCCAATATGGTCCAACACTGGAAAATATGGATATCTAGAGAAGTAATTTTTTTCTTGAATTGAGGACTTATAAGAGACATTTTTCCAATAGAACCTGACAATTTACATTTAAAATAAGCAAACACAATTATTAACACAATTTATTTCAAGTGCATATTATCTTATTAGCTTATTTTAAGCGAAAAAATACTCATTCCATTTGCGAGCTATCTCATTTACTTACTCAAATTAAGGGTAAATACACTTAATTAGAGAATTTTTTACTTATTTCTAGATCGATTTTCCAGTGAAGGTGTTACCACAAAGTTCTTCACCTGATGTTCTTTCCTTGGTCACAGAAAAAACCTTTTTTTAGGTCGTCTGTGTCAGCATTCCTCCGGACTTCCGTACGGTCTTCAAATTATTTCCTCTATTATGATGTTTAGGTGAGGTTCTTCTCACTGTCTATGGCAAAAGTAAACTAGATTTTAGTTGTTTTTTTTTTTACTTTAAACTACAGGCTTTGTTTCAGATTTTTAGTATAATTATCTCTGTTCTTACATTCTACAGTTGAAATGTTGTTTAGGAGATTGATTTGTTAGCAATACTTTCTATGTATAGTTCTTCCCTTGAGCTTCCATCTAGTATGTTTGCTTTAATTTTAACCCTTTAGGCCCTGATAACAGGATATATAAACATTCAAATTTTCCTTTCTGCTATTTTAACTCCTCTTCTTTCATTATAAAGATGCAGCCTCACCCAAAGTTTGAAAGATGGTTCAGCAAAATTAATATAAATGTTGATAGCTCTTTTCCTCAAGCCCTTTGACCCACTTTTATACCTCAGTTTTGTTCCAAAAGGTAGATTGCAGGAATCCAGTTAATTTAGTGAATGTGAAACTATAAAGTATTCCTTTAGATGTCAAACATTAACATATATGAATGTATATTTTGCAAAAACAGATAACTCTGTTTTTATATTTAAAAAAAAATTTACATTTTATTACCAGCACCATACAAAGAGTAAATGACAGCTCTTTTTTTTTTAAATGGCTTTTGTCTGTTTGTGCAAATTAAGTCCTGTATCCCTAAGAAAACTGATGAGTCCCTTTTAGTCTTCACAAAACTGTTTATTGAACATTATTCTCTAGCAGATCTGAAACCTTATACTGAGATTAGATTACAATTATTCAAACTCAACTGAAGGTAAGTGGTTCTACTGGGCCAACAGAGCAAAGGTGGTTGAATACAACATTAAAAATGAGCTGCTTTCTCTGATTTATGACAAGAAGGTGACAATTTCAACGTCCTGTGACTGATTTTAAAGGGCAACATATGTTTAGACAAAACAGACCTGGCTGTATTTAAGCTCATTCACTGAAACATATTCTATTCAATTATTACAATGTTATTGAACTATTAAAAACTGTCAAAAGTTTTATGGTTTTAATCCATTGGGCACTCGATTTCTGATGTTTGCAGCAGTTGCCACATTCCTATGAATAAAAAACTGCTTTACGTTATCAACAGTTGTAAAAAAACAAAAAAAATAATAACAAACACTGACTGAATATGGGAAACAGCAGGAACACAGAGGAAACCTTATGCGAACTGCAGCAGAAAATGTCTGTAATTTCAGTCCTCTGGACTGAACAAAATGTGCATGTGTGTCATCTGCCTGGTCATCTAAGAGCTGCCCCGGTTTGAGCATCAGCGGGTGAAGGAGGGAACATCCTGGAAAGGTCACCGAACGTTTCAGGATCAAACGAAGACAAACAGTCACACCTTCTGGGAGTTAAAGTTCACACTTTGACACTTAACATCCATGTGGAGCAAAGAAAAATCCAGGAGATAACTTTCACACAGGAAGAGGGCAAAGAGCTTTACGTAAACATAACAATTTAACAAGCAGTTTGGTAATAAAAACGGCTCCATATTTTATCATCCTACTTAAAAAACCCAAAACATCTCCAACAGTATTGTGCAGCAAATACTCAAAATGCGATATTAAACACCTCGAAAAAAGTCATTTTTCTTCAACAAAATTTTTTTTTAAATAATTTTGTTGTAGATTTATTTAGAAGATAAATATGAGATGTATAATTAAAAACAAAAATATAAAAATAGCCTGAATCGGGGGTAAAGTCCAACTCTCTATGTGAGTTGTTCAATCTGTTCAAGTGAAAGATTCCCATTTCAGTAAATGATTAACATTTTTTAGATAAAACTGTCATCAAAATATGCTACATTAAGTTATTAATCATTAAGGGGGTCTTAGTTTGTTATTATCTATTAATATGAAAGCTTCAAACATAAATTATCCCATTTTGCCTGAAGATAAGTAATTTGGATTTAATAAAGAACTTCAGATACAACAATTTATTCTAGACTAAA